GACCATCACCGTTGCACACTTTCCCATGCCTGCCAGCCTCGTTGGGCACCGACACGCTAGAGGCCGAAAAACGAGACCGACACCAAGTGGTGCTCGGAACAACAGATACCACTCCACCATTGTTGCCGTCATCACCGCAATACATCGCCGGCCTCAGGGCCTATCCCTCCCGACTGCCGTTGCCCACATGCCGAAGCGCCGTCGGCGCATCCAACCATGACGACCAATGCCGTCCCCGACACGCAGCTGGGCCTCACCTCCGAAGAGCTCCAGATCTTGCGCCAGGGCCAGGCCGCACTCGATGGGGGGTCCAACAGCTCGCGCGCCGCCAGCAGGGCCAGCAGCCAGGGCCTCCTGCTTCTCGACAGCTCCTCCCTCTCGGCCCTGGGGCGCTACTTTGACCGACTCATGGCCAACATCCAGCAGAACATCCAGTACCTCAGCGAGCAGGCGCAATTGTTCACACAGGTGCAATACGATCGAGCGGGAAACATCATTGATGGGGCGGACGAGGAGATTGCACGCTACACGGCGCTGCTGAGGCAGCTGGACGAGCTCGAGCTCGACTTTGACCGCATCGCCCACATCAAGGAGATTGTCAAACAGTACCGCTCACGCGTGGAATCGTTGGAACGGGATCTGGAGAGTACGTCCTCGTCGAGTCGGCACCGCCACTCTTCATCTTCACACCGACACGGTCACCGGCATCATTCGTCCTCCCATCGACATCGTCACTGAGCGGGCGTCGCAACAACACGAACAACGACAACAACTACCACCACCACCACCACCATTATCGCATACAATGAATTTACTCGATTACGCGGGTTCCTACAGTACCGCGTCCTCCTACAATGCTCTCCGCTAGCCGAACACAGGAAAATGTACAGAAGAAACGGGGACAGGCCTCGCGGCTAGGCAAAGAAAGACTGGCCTCACGGCAAAACAGGATTGGGATTTTATTCACTGGCGTTTTATTTGGGATACTCGGACATTTATCAACTCGCGCCTCGCGGCTGGCGCTCAAGCTTTCGCAGTATTATTCTCTTGGCTTCTGATCTTATAGGATACCCCCCCTTGGTTAAGCAATGAATTTAGTGTATGCTGCTACATTGCAAGCGAGACGTTGACTGCCCCCGGGCTTGTTTGATCGAACCAGGTGCCCATTACGGATGTTTAAGAGTCTGATGGATGGGCCCTCCCAGAATCACGGTTCGTTCAATCAACCATCATGCAGACACAGGATGCTTCAATTGTCGCTCCGGGCGTCGCACGCGAGATATTCTCGCAGACACCCTCACACGCTCGACCCCTGGCTAATGTAGGTGTCCATGTGAGCAACCCCTTGGCCGCCTTCGGGCCGCCAACCGTTCCATCGGCCCTCCCTCTTCGCAAGCCGCCTCCCACATTGGGCGTCTACTGATTGCCGGCTGAACACATCAAGAAGGCAGCCGGTTCAAGGCAGGTCACAGTCGCAACATCCGCTGGGCCGAAAGTCGATATGCTAGCATGACAACGGGCGAATAGACATGCAATGCGGTGTAAAAATAATATATCCTCAAAACATTTAGGGAATCCAGAAAAGAGCAGTAGTGCGAGAGTACAACAATACCCAGTAAGACATGTCCAACGCCAAAGGAGCTACCAACGGACTGGCGCGCAGCCACGGCCTAGCCTCTTGCCCTTCCTCCCGTTGTCGCCCATGCAAGCAAGTACCAATTCGTCCATTCGTCATCCAGACCGGACTCCTTAAAACGCCGTGTGTGAGTGTGTAAGCGTGCATGCGCGCGCTCTCTAGAACCCTTCCTCCAACTGCGCACGCTTGGACAAAAGAAAATGGTGTGTTGATCCTTGTGTGTGTTTGGCCGTCACTCGCCGTCATCATCTCGACTCGCATCGACTTGTCCTTCAGTGCGTGGAGTTTCGCTTGCCGCGGGCCTGTATCGCCAACAAGCGTAACCGTCAGTCAAGGTCTTGAGCTACCGCAGCAAAGTTCCCTAGGCCTTAGCTCTGCGTTGACGCACCAAGAATGGACTCGGCATCTCATCTCTCTCCGGGTCCCACGTAGCCACTGGCTCGCCGTTGCTATCCCTCCGCTCGCCCGCCATGCGGCGCTTGGGACTCGCGAGGTGACCACTGTTCTCGGGTCCCGTCGGCACAGGTCGCCCTCCAGCACGAGCTTGTGAGAGTTCCACCAGAGTGCGGCCCTTGACGTTGTTCTTGACCGCGACTTTGCCCAAAGCCTCGGGGTCCTGTGTCTTCTCCTTCCGATTCTGCGACTGCTTACGTGACAGCGCGCTGTGAACATTGGCTTCACCACTAAGGTTCGCCTTTGACGGAATCTTGCTCAGACGCCTGTTAGGCGAGCGAGGTGCCGGCTCAGATATCTGGGCCTGCCCCATTTTAGACACGAGACCACATGTGGAAGTCTGCGGCTTGAGCCGGTTGACGTTGATCGGGCATGTCTTTTGTGTCGTCAGCACTGGGCGATCCCTAGCTGTGAAGGGATTTTTGCTAGATCGGATGTTGCGCGTCGGCGAGGGGACGATTTCTTCATCGTCTGACTCTTCGATGGTCGGCTCGTCTGGCATAGTCCAGTTTGCCCCCTTGGAGCTCTTGGCGCCAAAGATGTTGCCCTCGGGCATAGCGGGCACTTTGGTCGCACCCGTGCGACGGGGCGAAAGTGATAAAGATGCGATAGCGATAGGGCTCGGCGATGCCATCTCGACGTCCATTGGTGTGCCAGCACCTGCGAACATGGTTTGTGCGCGTCCGAATGGGGTCCTTGCACCCTTCTTAGGTTCCTTCTCTTTCGATGTATCGGGACTTTCAATTGAGTAATCGGTAAAGTCAGTTGTTGAGGGGAAATCGTCGCTTTCGACAGTGCTCATTGAGGATTGTGGACAGAGTGACCTGGCAACAGGAGATGCCATTGAGGGCGGCTCTGTTTTCGGCTCTTCAGGGGCCACAGGGACCATGGCTCTGGCCAGTTCTTCTGCTCGCGCCGCCACCTCCGTCTCGAACTGTTTGTTCAGCGTTTCGATGTGTTCCTGCACCAGACGGTCGATCTCCAGACGGGCCTTGACCTCCCATTCCCGACGCAACGCCGAGTCAATCTCTTCTCGCATAGTGTCTCGTTCGCGCTCGAGGTTGGCAGTGGCTTCTTCCACGTCCTTCGCATGTTTAGCCACAGCCTCCTCCCTGGCCTTGAGCTTCTTGTTGTAGTCTGCGACCTCCTTCTCCTTGCGCATCAACTTCACAACAGGCAGGTTGAGCAGTTGCGCCGTATCAGGCCGTCGATCGGCATTCACGCGCAAGCAGTCCTTGATCACAGCGTTCAGCTCTGCCGAGTACATCTCCGGAAGAGGCGCAATTTTGCCTTCCTTGATCTTCTGCACCAGCTGGAAATGGGTCTTGGCGTTGAAAGGGGGCTCGCGAGAGCAGAGTTCGTAGATGATGCAGCCTAATGACCAAATGTCGGATTTCAATGTATACTTCTCGGCCGCGCAGATCTCGGGCGACATGTAGAAAGGCGTGCCCACATATGTCGACGCAAAGTCATGGGACTTGATCATCTTCGAAAGACCAAAGTCGCCGAGTTTGACAGAGTTGTCTTCGTCGAGAAAGACTTGACAAGTTAGTCAACTTCTCAAATGCAGCAGTCGAGGCCAGCTTACCGTTCTCTGGTTTCAAGTCACGGTGCAGGATAGTCATGGTACCCGCGGGTACCTTGGGGGGCCCATGTGTCGTGCCTTGCGTGAGACCGAGCACATTGGTGCCCACCTCGGGAGGATTGACACCATAGTGGCAGCGATACAGCGCGAGGCTGAGCTGGGTGAATACACTCCAGACAAAATTCTCTGGAGCGCGTTGCCCCTTGTGCTGCAGGTCCTTGATCACACGCCCCAGGTCGCCATTCCCACAATATTCCATGTACAGGTGAAGGTCCTGGCTCAGCTTAAGATGCTCTCGGTGGTAGTAGGCGACAATGTTCGTGTGTCGGAGATGGGATAGGATTTGGAACTCGGCGTGGAGCTGCTCGCGCTCCTTCTGCGACATGCGCTGGTAGGAGATCTCCTTGCGGCACATGATGAAGCCGTCGGCCTTGCGACGGACCTTGCGAATGATACCGAATGATCCATGGCCTGTACACAAGGGTCAGAGTTAGAGTCAGAGGTCGAGGCCGTGCGACAACTTACCAATCTTCTCCAAGGTGTCGTACTTGTCTTCGGTAGACATGATGGGCTAGTGTCGTCCACGACGCAAGTAAAACGCTAGGACGGGGAAGACGTATCGAGGAAAGCCAGCATGAGAGAGGAATTGAGGACAGAGAGGGACGTCGAGTAATGCACCGCTCAGCAGTAGTATGGAGCGAAGAAGGTCGAGCCGTGAATGACCAAGGGCACGCGAATGACTGGCTCTGTCCTGCTGAGTTAGTAAACGAAAGGCTGTTGTTGGTGTTGTTGTTGTTGTGAAGACGAGGAAAAAAGCGAGAGAGGAAGAGAGAAGTCCGAGTTGCTACCCAATTCTCTGTGGGTAACGCTGTCGAGCGTTTTGCTGGCGAGTGTTCCGTTGCCAACCAACGGCCACTGTACACCCCTGTCGCCTGACGTGGGATTTCGGGGATGTACCAAACAGTGACGTTGGCCAGGCAACCATCTTACGGCTTCGCTTTTCGTCAACTTACCGGGGTTCAACCGCGGCAATCGATAACAATAATCGATTCAGAAGCTAGCGCACATTATGGTGGGGCACGCCGCTCATGATGATTGATCGTCCATATTCAACTGACGACATGCAGGCAAGGCGGTTTCGCGATGGGTTCGCATGCTGGAGGTTCTTCCTCGACAAATTTCGCACACCGACGCCTCCTTTCTTTCCTTTGTTTGTGAGAGTTTATACGCCGATACATTCACACATTTATATACATATCTTTTTAGCTTTGCCTCTTAGCCGTCCTTCATGAACCTTACTTAGACACCCCGCAGCGACTCGCCACCATGGTCCTGAAAAAGTATGAGCTCGAGGGCACCTTGGCCGAGGAGAACCTCATGATCAAAGCCGGAACGCTACGGGACGAGAACCCCTTGGACACCAGCGAGAATTTCCAAGAATTCTTGTTGGCGTGTCGTCATGGCGACCTGAGAAAGTGCCAGGAGCTCATCAACCTCGGCGTTAACATCAATGGGAAAGACAAGTTCGATTACACGCCGCTGATTATCGTGCGCTCCACTCCGTACCAACGGCGTCCAGATGCTTACGTCTCTCCAGGCTAGCTTGTGCGGCCACTATGAGTTGGTGCGACTACTCTTGGAGTCCGGGGCGTTGGCTGAGAGGAACACGTTTCAAGGTGAACGTTGCATCTACAATGCTCTCAACGACCGGATACGGAACCTTTTGCTCCAGTACGACTTCTCCAAGTCGTCAGATCCATATGTATACTGGTCAACACATATTTCCTCCCTCATCAACAACCCCAATGGGTTGACCGACATTGCTCTCATTGCTGGAAACGATTCTTTCGATATTCACAAGTTCATTCTTGCTGCGAGAACACCATACTTCAACAAAAAGCTTACTGCGCAGCCTGAGACGACGCAATGGAAACTGTCCGCTGCCATTCCCACCGACTCATTTCAGATCGCGCTACGATACGTCTATCTTGGTGCTGTTCCAAGAGACCTCGTTGCGCAGGCCAGTGACGTGTCTGAGGAGGATGTCCTCAAGGGATTGGACAAGCTCAGCAAGCAACTTGAAATCGAACAGCTATGGGAAGCAATCATGGCGGGGAGTGACAGGCGACTAGCCCGACAGAGGTACGAAGACGAGGTCCGGCGGGCGCTTCGACAGATGGAAGCTTTCTTTCAGGCGAATGTTCTCGGGAGGAAAATGTTCGTTGACTCGGACCGCGTGGATGAAGTCGTTTGGAAACATGACAACTCCATCTTTGCCGATGTGCTTCTACGTGCGGACGAGCCATTAGCTGAAGATGAGGCATCGCCGCACGATGGAGCAAAGGACACGCCCGTCAACGCGCAGGGCATACCCATCGGTCCCGCCGCAGCAGCAGACACCACAAACGGCACCACGGCAGCCAAGCCTCGCAAGTCGATTCTCTATCCAGCTCACAAGGCGATGCTCATCCGAAGCGAGTACTTTGAGAAGATGTTCTCCGGCGACTTTGTCGAGTCCCGGCGTTCCGATAACCTGCGCATCGTCACCCTGGACTGCACGCCCGAAATCCTGGAACTGATTCTCACATTCCTCTATACCGAAAGTACAGATCGTATCTCCTTGGATCAGGCATTGGATCTATTATACGCCGCCGACATGCTCTTCCTCGACACGCTCAAGTCCAAGGCGGCCGTTGCCATCTCCACCCTCGGCAGCGGCTCCTCCAACGTCAATATTGGCGAGCCGATAGACGAGAAGAAGGGCGTCGAGGTCGAGCCGGTGAACATCTACGATGTGATTCGTGCCGCATGGGACCTTCGCGTGCAGCGTCTCGAGGAATTCGCGGCGCGTTACATCGCATATAGACTGGAAGACTACATTGACGACGGCGAATTTCAGGACATGATCCAAGAATCAGCAAGCAGGATCAAAGAGCGCCAGGAGACGGATACCATTGAGTTGCTCGACGACATTCGCTACTACCTGTCCGAGAGATTTCGACTGCGCTTCGAGGATACAGGGCTGGAAGATGTCATGGACGAGGAAGGGGAAATCGACGCACAGGTCGCTGCCCAGATTGCGGACGCTGCAGAAGGGCAGGTCAAGCAACCATCCGCAGATGTGGCGGGTACGAACGGGTGGAAACCGGAGGACAAGGGCCTCGACAGTGGCAACAAGGAGAAGTTGAAGGAAGAAGAGGACTCTGACGGCGATGATGAGTTTGTCGCTGACGCGATGAGTTATCAGAATCTTCTCGGCAAGATCGACATGATGCTAGAACGTCTCAAGCTAGATGCGTAGAATCAATTCACATGCACGTGCGTACGTAGCGTTTCAAGTGTCTCTATTAAGTTGCTTGTTTCAAGATGGGCTCTCTAAAGCTCCACAAGCTTGATCCTCGATCGCAAGGGCTCTGGTAATTCCTCCCTTTGAACAAGACCAAGCTGCACAAGATCACCCCAGAAGAACAAGGCTCGGTCTTGCGAGTAGCTCAGGTAGTCGAACTCGTCCGCGTCCTCCTCTGCGTCTGTGCCCAGTGGCTCGCCCGTCTCCAAGCCAGGCACCTTGGCTTGCACGCAGCCCCAGGCGGCCCAAAACAGACTGTTGGCGGGACGCCACAGTCGAGTCTCCTCAAGGAGGGCACGGACTTGCTGGTCGGTACGCTCTTCACGTGCACGCTCGGCAGCACTCCATCCTCCCGGAGGCGCGCGCGAGTCCAACATGAAATCAACGATGGAACTCGAAGATGGCGCAGATGTCAGTGTGGGTGGTGTCTGAGGAGTTGACGCGCCTGTGCCGGCATCTTGGGGGCGGAGCTTGGGTGTCGAGCCGGCGAGAGGGAACTGTGAGCGATGGTCAATGTACGCTTTCAGGAAGCGACGTTGCTCTTCGGGCTTGGGATAAGCAGCAGTGTTCAAAGCCCATGGGGTCTTGGCGTCATGGTAGTTGTACATCCATTCCGTGAAGTGGTTTGCAAATTCCTGACCCGGACGACTGGCGGCAGCGTATTCAAAGTCGATAACGATAAGCTGCTTGTGTTTGTTGGCAGGTTGCAGGAGAGGCGATTTTTCGTCGTCGGGTTGGAAGCGGAGAATGTTGCCGTATTGGGTCTGCTGAGGTTAGTCAACGTGGAATCGTGCGTGAGTAGCGACACTAACATCATTGTGGGCAAAGATGAGCCCGTCGTTGAGGCTCTTCGCATCTCCGTACTGTTGGACAAGCCATTCCCGGTACTTGTTGGCCACGGCCAAGAATTGCGCCCACGGCAAACCCAAGACGTATCCACTCGTCTTCCAATTGTGCACGACTGAGTTTCTGCGCGAATCCTCTCCGATCGTCTCCTCGTACTGCTTGTCCAGGTAGGTGACAATCCTCGCTACATTGTCCAGCCAGCAGTTCCAGTTCTTCCAGACAGCAGGCCCAGCCTCCCGTTCGCTATCCAACACTTCAACGCCATCGTGGAGCTCGCGCATGCGCTTGGCAATCTGCTTGGATACGTCGGGATCGCGCAGGTCGGCAGGTGTTAGGGGAGACGCGTTGAAATACTGCTCGAAACGACCGTTCTGGAAGGTGCCAAGCAAACGAGGCCCAATCTTCTTCCGCGCCAAACGCTGCAATACTTTGAGCTCATTCTCTCGATCGATGAGGTTGTCGGCTTGCGGGCCGTAAATTCGAAGGAGGAGTTTCGCCGGCTTCTTCTTGCTCTGCTCGTCGTCTTGGAGCTCCGTTGGGGGCGTGACGACGTAGACTGCATTGGTGAGGGCGCCGCTGAGACGCTGGACATCAATGCCCTCGCCGGAATCCAAGGGAACCCTGCGCCAGCCTTTGAGTCGCAAAGTATGGGCTGTGCGGATGATCTCGTTCTTGAAGGTGATCCAACATTCGTGATCTCGCCTCGACTTGGCATCTTCCGTATCGAGCAGGTTCACTGTGCTTGTGCTGTAAGCCATCGTCTTGGAGTTGTCAAGCCAGACGTCGCAATCTGGTACAATGGCATCTCCATCCACATAGTCGGTATCAGACGAGGCCGTGCGCTGCAAAGATGACCGACGCTTCCTGTGTCGCGGCCGGGGAATCTTGGGCGCATCACGAGAAATAGAGCCCAGACCCATGGCAGCCATGGAGTCGTCTAGTATTCTCTGAAGCTTGTCCAAGGAAACATCACTGGACTGGGAGTCGATGGAGTCGGATCTTTCGCGGCCGCTGGGCGTTGCTTTTGCCGAGTCATCGTCCACTGTACTAGGCGAGGCCGACTTGCGCCTGCTTCCTCGAGATCTATGCTTCCGCACCGACATACGCAGCCGTTCCCTCTCTATCCAGTCGCTCACTTGAGACAGCAGCTTCTCGCTGTAGTACTTGTGTCGATGGCTATGATCGTGCTCCTGTGGTGCGTTACCACTCAGGGGCTCATCTCCAGGGCGCCATGACGGCGAGGCGTCGTCGCGCGTGGATGACTTGGATGATTGAGGGACTTGCGATGGCTGTGATCGGCCACTCAACTTGCGACTGTGACTAGCGCGGAACTGTCGATGAGTGGGATTGTCATCGTCTATGAGCGACGGCTCAGGGGTTGGCTCTTCTATCTGGACAGCTGAGAGAGAGAGTAAGCCAATGTTCCCAATGTCAATGACAATATGATTGGTATCCTAGTATCTTTGTGTCTGTGAAGATATGGCGCAACTGCTAATATCCCAGGTATTGTTGGCATACAAAGCTCGGACACAGTCTGCCTAAAACCTTCTGAGTGGAAATTCCTTTGGTCCAAACTAACTCAATGGACGCAAGTCTCTGGAAACCCTGCAGAACCCCTACGACTAAGATCACGTACCTTTGAGAGTGCCACTGGCTGGTGGTGTCCTTTCGCTATCGTTCTCAGGCTTCATGGCTGACCGCAAGGGCTGCTGGCCACTTGCCCCGCCGAGGCTGCTAGAAGCAGACATGGCGAGCGTGGTATCGGCGATGGTTTGGGAGGTGCAAATGAGGGGAAAAGCAATGATCAAACCCGTCTTGAGGGAGTGATGAGGGGCAGGTCGATGAAGCTGGCGGTCGTGGGGAAATGGCGCGAAAAGGTGTCGGCGGTGTAGTGGGCCTCGTAGTCAGGGGCCAGGGCCGCCACGGTTCGGGGACTGCCGAAGGGAGTGGGAGCGCGATCAACAATCAGAAACGTGAGTTCCAACGGTGGCCAATAAGTTCATCCCTATGGGCTTGCTCCGTCGCAGGATGCCGCTTCTTTTTGATGGAAATTGCTGTACACTGATATGTTGGCGCCAGCACAACTCGAGGTCATTCATGGCGACTGCCAGCGAAGCGTCATGTGGACAGACCCCGAAATTATGTCACGTGGTGTGATGTAATGGCGTCCATCCTTCAGATCTACCTATACAAGGCAGCGGCCAAGCCTGTCAAGTGATTGTTTGACCCTGACCAACCACTTTACACGTTGGCTCTGCATTGCATTGGTAGGCGTTTCGCTTGACGTCGCACGATGCATTACGACGTCTAGAATCACTGCAGTGTGGTTTGCAGACCTTGTTACGTAGCTGCCAGTGAAGTAAAAAAAAATATGTGTGAGGACCCCTGCAAGCCGCAAGGGTCCTGTCTTGGCGGCATGTGATCGCTTTCCGCACTGCCAAGTCGTGAAGTATCTACCTTACATCGTATGCGCCCAGGTCCCACGCAACATGACGGTAGCCTTTGCCATACGTATTGCATTGGCGAAGCTAACAATTAAGCTTTGGACATGGCCTTTCATATTCCACTTCCAGTCCCTCTAGTCTATGATAACCAGCACTACATCTTCTCCACAGCCTCTCTGGTAACATCAATACCCTCGTTCCTCATGGCCCAAACCACGGCGTCAAGGACATCGTTCACAATCACTGCCGGTTCCCATCGAGGCTGCCTCTCCGCCTCTGTCTGGCGCCAAACCCCCGTCTTGACCAGGATCGGCACATACTCGGTCCCGTCCTCGGGCTGGAACTCGAGCGCCCCGCGAACATCACTCTCCGGGTTGTCGCCGATCATGTATACCCTGCGCAACGGCTCGGTCCTCCCGTCGGCCGCCCCGTTTGCTCGCAGGAGACTGTCGTGAGCGTACTCGTAAGTGATGCGCGAGGGTTTGCCCATATATTTGAACAGAAGCTCGTGCCCTGTCGACTCTTTCCAGACACCGCGGAAGGCGTGCAGGAACGCGCCGGTGCCGAAGCGGTTGATTGGGTGCTCTGTTTTCCATAGGAGGTCGAGGTTGGATATCCACACCTTGGGTTGTCCATCCTGTTGCCAGCCGCCATTCTCCAAGGACTTATCGCCATTCTTGTGAGATAGTGTGCCGAGATAGCCCTGATGCGACGCGAGGATGTCGTGAATGATTTGGGTCTCGAGTGACCAATCCCGAGGGTCGTTGAAGATGAAGACGTGGTCGATCTTCAGGTAGTTGCCATTCTTCAATTCGGCTGCGTCATAGGCCATGGCATCTGTGCCGCGCCATAGTTTGGTGGCATTTGGAAGCGCCCGGCCTTTGGAGTTGAAGATATGCTTGGGTGCGAATGGATAGATGTGCTCATACTGCTCGAGCAGATCTGTTGACGTGATAACATTCCGGAAGCCGTACCTGATGACTGTAAGTATTGGATCGTTCTTTGAGGTATGTAAACCTACGAGTGAGCAATATTTCGAGCTCTTTCAGGGTCTAAGCTCGTGATGTAGATAGTCTCGTCCTCTTTGGCCTGTGTCCTGAATTTTCGAAGTGGCGTGTGTGATTGAATAACCCGGTCGCCAATAAGATCGTCCACGCCATCTATACCAACCTTCTTTTTCAAGCTCGCCGCTTTCTGTTCTTCTGTTGTGTTGCCACCGCCATTCGTCAAGAACAGATACCTCGAGTCATGGTCCCGGCACAACCGCAAGGCAGACTTGGCACTGCGAATCTTCTGATCACCCAAATGGAGGACACCATCGCAGCTTGGCAACAGATCAGCACATTCACCTCCAGGTAAAGGGCTCGGGAGTGCCTACTCGTAAAGGAATCCAAAGCTCCTCGCCAGCTTCTTGGCCTCCTGGGAAAAGGGGCTAGCTGTTGACGATGACGTAACCGGCCACACCGGCTGCTCGTCGAGTGTGCGCCTCTTCACAAAGTTCAGCTCGAGATCACCATCCGGCGAGTCACTGGCAGCGCTCTTGAGAAACCGAACGGCTGGTGTGGTTCCGAATCGACGTGCCGTGCACGGCGCCCAATTCCGCGTTGAGTCGTACGCGCGACGCGCTGGTTGCCGTGCTGCTCGCGCGAAAGCGCCACAGCGAGGGAGCGCACCCAAGAATGTCATGATCTGGCTCTTTAATCGCCACGCTCGACTGCTGCAATGATGACGGAGCCAGTGTCGCGAGGTCGCAAGGTGGAAAGGTTGAACGTTGACTGTGTGCGAGGAGGCGGGCGGATGCGAAGCCGCAGGTCTCCACTATAAATTAAGGCGACACGAGCAAGTGCTTTGTCTCAGGGAGCATGCTCTTGTTGACCTTCAACCTCTCAACTCTCGTGCTCAATCCATTATCAAAACCTCGGGCTCCAATCAAACAATCAAAAAACATCAAGCTGCGAGGTTTTGCAGCCAGCCATGCGATCTTTCCAATACGTCCTCCAACATCCGGCTCCACGTCTCTCCTAATCACTGCACTGCCCTCAATTCTCAAGTTGTCTGAGTGATAGCAACATGTCTGATCATGCAGGCTGTTGTCGTTCGCCATGATTTCTGTATGACCTGCACCGCATTCCCAGAAAAACTGATACATGCATTTGGTGCCTGCTCTCGTCAGCGTCCTTTGTCGTCCCCACAAGGTTCACATGTTGTCACTAGAGCCGGCTCTAGAACAGCTGTCAGCGGGAGAGGTCGGGGTTTTGTCAACCATTTTCTTCAGTTCCCTCAGCTTGAGCCTCGGAGCTGGGATACTCTCCCTCTTTGTCGGGAACCGGGTCGCACCAAATTTCAGAGCTGACTACACCATAAAAGCCTTTGCTGAAATTTGTCATGTGTTGCGGTTGTTTTGGCGCTGAGCTGGGATGCGAATGTCTTGGAGTTCGTGGCTGGGCTGGGGCAAGGTGAGGTGGAACAAAGAAAGGGGAGTGAGTTACTGAAGAGCTCAAAATGCTAGGTATCTTAGAGGATCCACAAACTCTAGTCACCTGCCTGAGCAATTCAGCCAGTCTCTGCTTTCCGTCTCATATCAATGGCACCTTACTTTACCTGGTACTTAGTGGCATGTATTCTCCAACCGCATTCGCTGGTTTCGTTCAATGGACGCATCTTTGCACCACGACAGAACACTGGAGCTCTGGTCCATCACATTGGCTTGGTGTTTGTGGGATCAAAGAACCACGCCCTGAAAGGCATTCATCTACGAGGTGACTAGTTGTCCCGGTCAAAGTCACTCAATGGCGTGCCCCTTGGACTCCCTATGCACGGTTGTTACGTGTTTTTCCCTTCCCATGCCCCCGGAGAGCTTAGCTTCGTTTTCCTGCTTCCACAAACGCCCACCGCTCTGGGACGCTACAGCCTGAATGTCCGAGCCTCTGAATTAGCGCAGCTTGACTGAACTAAATCGGTGGGTGAGTGTAGTTGGTTTGCCCGTGCAGAATGTCTCCATTGCCGCTTATCCGCCCCAAACGACTAGAACACGAGGCGGGCGGACAGTCTTGACGTGTGAGCTCTTGTTAGATTCCGATATCCGATAAGTATGTACCATTATAATTCCGGGAGATAAGAGACAGATTGGCTCCAAGTGCTCCTCGACATAGCCGTGCTTGGAGCCGAGGCTCACCTTCTCCAATTCAAATTGTTTTCTATTGTTCATGAGATCCTCACACCTCATTCTGTTGAAGTTTGCGAAGAATTCTGGTGACGTCGAGATGCGTCTTGTCTGGTCAAGCTCACGATATCTGTTGAAATCGAACTCGACTTGATGTGGACTGCACGCGATCTTTCGCTGAAATTGTGCCGCGGGGATGACACACGATTCCACAATGTCCTGGTGAAATTCCTCAAATTTCTCTTCGGGACAGAAGATGCCGAACAATTGTGAAATGATGGCGGTGACATCCATAAGCTGCTTCTTCTGTTCCCTTTCGAAATATGGTGTTGACACAAGCGCGGTGAGTGCCTCGGCGTTCCAGTTGCTGATAGCAACTGCATCTGTTGCATAATATCAGTGCTATAGCTTCGAAGGGGGGGGGTTTCCTGCGTACCTCGCTTCTTGGTAACAGTCGTGGCCAATGCTTCTGTGATACCTTGGCACATTGCTGTTTCTGAGGGCAAGCAGCTAAATAGTATACCTTGAGGATGGTTAAACACGTTGAAGTTTAATGCTCTCATCATGATAGCAATTAGGATGTCCTCGTCTGTGTCGGGAATCGACAAAGCGACGCTGATGTCCAATTCTTCCCTGACGAGGACTTGAAGTTTATGTATACCCCGAGGGTCAGCTCGTGCCATGCGTCGGACATAGCTGTTGCCCTGCTCTGCAGTAGCTGGAAGCTTTTGACAGGTATTTTGGGTCCATGCTTGGACACCATCGACAACTTTCTTAAAGGCCTTTCCAGTGTCAGCTGAATGCTGACCCATCTTGAAGATTCTGGCTCACGTCATTGATATCTTCAGGCGTCAGATCCTCGTGGAATGGCTGCAAGGCGAATACGTGCGTCTGAGCATCATTTAGTTGCTGGCGTAGGGCGGCATTCTCCTTCAGAAGTTTTGCCTCCGTTGCAGCAACCGCCTCGCTCTTTGTGGCCAGTGCCTTGAGCTGCGCCCCCAAGACTTTGCAATTGTTAAAGAAATCGGCTACCATTTGTTGGATACCTTGTTCCTCTTTCATCTTCGCTGAACTTTCTTCGACTGGGGCAGTCCTCAATGGCTTGATTCGATGCTCAAATTGCTTGAAAGTAAATTCGGAGATAAAAGTGAGAGAGAGCTGATATCCTGGTGCACTGTCAAACTTATCTAACCCTTTCTTGCTTGCGTAATCCTGTTTATGCTCAGCTCAGTATACACGTATTTAGACCGAGCTTACCACAGTCAACATGAAATCTCCCATGAAGTTTCAGGATGGCCGCAAGGCAAGCTCATCATCGGCATTGACTTTGGCACTAAATACTCGGGCATCGCCTGGGCAGGAACCCAACAGCCGGACAGGAACACGGCTATCACCACTTGGCCTGTCTGCGCCGCCTCGTCGGAAGGCGAGTCGTCTGCTAAGGTACCGACCACGCTGAGATATACCAAGAGAGAAGTCCAGTGGGGGTTCTCGATCCCTGGAAACGTCCCTGAGGATGAGATTGTCGAATGGTTCAAGCTGTGCGTATGAAGAGTCCAGATCAACTCTTCAACCGGACTGACAATCTTCCGCTAGTGACCTTTACAAAACTACGAAGGCTATGACCCAGAGTAGTCAGAAGCTGTCTGCCCGTGGTGGCCGTGATCCGGCCCAGTTGGTGACTGACTTTATGGAGCGTCTCGGTGCTCATCTACACTACATTCTTCAGTACAAGCTCGGAGACACCGTACTCAAATCTAAACCCATGGAGTTTATTGCCACCGTGCCTGCCATGTGGAGCGATAGTGCCAAAGATCTCACAAGGCACGCGTGTCAGAACGCACCCTCGCTTGGTGCAAATGGCCGGCTAATCCACTTCATCTCGGGGCCAGAGGCGGCCGCACTCTATGCGCTCCAAGGTCTTGATCCTCATGGATTGAAAGTCAACCAAACAATCCTCCTTGTCGACGCAGGTGGCGGTATAGTCGACTTGATTGCTCACAGAATCACGCAGCTGAAGCCAATTCTGGAACTTGAGGAAGCTGCTCCAGGAACAGGTGGTATTTTCGGCTCATGTTGGCTCAACCGCCGAGTTGAAAAGTTCATGCAAGACAAGCTATGTCATCTCGACTGTTTTGACCAGGAGGTTGTCTACGAAACCGTTGACGTATTTGAGAAGAAAGTGCGTGAGGCTTAGCGCATGGCCCTCTTTTACTTATTGATTTTCCAGATCAAGCGCCAATTCGCTTCCAAGACTCCGGACGACGAGACCTTCACTTTCCCCTTGGGCGGCGTGGCCAATTCGGCACAGCTAGGAGTCTCCCGAGGGAGGTTTGCCATGAAAGCTTCCGACATTCGCGAGATCTTCAGGCCTGTTGTGAACCAGATCATCAAGCTCATCAAGGCTCAGCTGCAGTCTATAAGAACTCCTGTCACGGCTATCTTACTCGTTGGAGACTTCGGAGCCTCGATGTACCTGAGAGACAGGATCACTGACGCGGTAGGGATGACCGTGCGAGTTCTCCAGCCCCCAAAAGCATGGCAGGCTGTGGTTCAGGGCGCCGTACTTAAAGGTTTAGCCAACAATGATCCGAAGACAGCGCCAGTTGCTGTGCAAGCGCGTAAAGCTAGACGGAGTTACGGTGTGCTCCTCCTTGCCGCCTATCAACACGAGCGTCATGCGCACCTTGCGCACCTCAATGAGTGGGATATGTTTTCAGGCTGTCATCGCGTGCCAGTAATGTACTGGTTTGTCATGAGAGTAAGTAAAATACTACTATCAGACACTATGAGACAGCGGACTGACGGGTTTCAGGGTGATACCGTGTTGGAGGATAGATCCGTGCCTATCTTCTACGAGCTCACTCAAGCCGTCCACCTCGGCCGTCCCTTTGAGCTCGAAATAGCAATCAAGTACGACCGAGCAAACAGAAACCTGGCGGGCGCGGTCATCACTAAGGGCAAAGACGTGCTTGATTTGTCCACGCTTCGCGCAGGGCTTGGAAATATTCCAGAAGAGTCTCTATCGCAGAGTCTCGGTGCAGACGGATTGCAACACTATCGTCTGCAGTGTGAGGTACATGCGACATTCAAGTCTGCTTCGATTGAATATTCGCTCCACTACCATGGTAGGCATTGGCTGCTCGTTGATCTGCTATGTAGCATACTGACAAACACAGGTCGGAGGTACCACAGCGTTACTTGCGAGTATGTCTAGCTTTGCTCGACCAGTATCAAATGGACAAGGGACGGATTATCTTGTATTTTGCTCAGGGGAAGTCAACCTGGTCGTACAAGAGAAGCATTTGTCGTGGTTATTGCGACGCGCAATTGAGCTCGAAAATCCGGGACTGGGATGTTCATGTACCATATATCAGTGCGCCTCTTGGGTATTATTTTATTGCCTTGCAAGGACTCGCCTTCATTGGCCCAGGTGAAAAGTCGAGACAAGTGTGGCCTGGCGAGGCGGTCGTGGTTTGGTATCATATGGATTCGTCATTCAAACAAGTCTCCTAGATACGGGAGTACTATTATCAACATCTCTGCACCTATCCTCTCATCCCTGTGTCCCGAAACGTATCATCTTGTCTTGCAGGAGACGACGCAACTAACAAATCAAATACATCGGGCCTCGCCGGCCATGCAATACGTGGTATCCTCGAAGCAAACATGTACAGAGAAGAGAAATATGCTTTGCCCTCCTGTCTCTCGTATCAAACGAAAGTTATTGTCACCCAAGGTACAGTCATCCACTCGAAAATCGTCGCCCCCGTCGACGCCCTTGGAGACTGTCAAATGCCACATTATGTCGCCCAAAGTACGCTCGAAAGTAGTCGTCCTACTCCTCGTCCAAGCTGCTCATGGTGGCGTTCCTGTTCCTCTTTCCGCCCAGCTTCAACATGCTGAGTCGCTTCCGCACACTGGTCTTCTTGATCAGGCCTTGACCACCGCTGCCTTCCGATTCCAGATCGTGACTGGATGCCTGAGATGGCCGCCGGAGGTCTGCGGTGATGGTCGTTGTCGTCTTTGCACCTGCGGCCGCCGCGGCTTCGTCGCCGCTAAAGTGCCGGCTGAGTTCGTCGTTGGATTGGGCTGCCCGGAAGAAACTACCGCGCCGTGTAGTGTCTTTGCTCATGGCCCTGCTGCGAGGACTCGCAGGTAGCTCGATGCTCTGAGGGAATGCAGAAGAGTCTCGGTGGCCGTCAGACATCCTTCTCTTGTTGAGAAAGCTCAGACGTTTGCTTCGCTGATGAAGCGACACGGGTCGTGCGACGGAAGCTTCTTCTGCCCTGACACCATTCACGAGAGACGCGATGCCAGGTGTAGGTGTGCTGGTGCCGTTCGGTGACGACGGTGCCCTCCATGTTGGCGTGACACTGTGTGTATATTCGCGCAATGGTTGTGGCGGGGAGAAGACGGCCACCTCGGGCTCGAAGGTGCTTCCAAAATCTATGAGAGTTAGCTGCGGTCCATCTCAATGCCTGGGTAATACTTACAGCTCTGCAGCTCTTCGTGTCGGTGACGAAGAAGTGCGTTGTCACTGCGAGCGAAAGTCGCCAGACAGCGTTTAATCATGATCGCATGATCTACCAAGGCCATCTTGAGAGCTACGTCTTGAGGCTCAGCTTCCACCTTCTCCTCTTCTTCCATGTCGTCTTCATCTTCTCTCTCTTCACTGCCAAGATCGCTTGCGGCCTGCCTCTTCGGCTGAGGGAGCAACTGACGATAGCAAGCTACGCTATGTTCAGAGTTGGGGTTCACCGAGACACTAATGGCATCTAGCAGTAGAGCCGCGTTCTCCTCGTCGCCTTCAGCCACGCGGCGTTCCAACACTGTCATCTCCTGTGTCTTGCGCACAATACGCTCCAACGCCGTCTCGTGAGCAGTCAGCGCAACCTCAGACTGCTCAATGACCTCACTGCGGCGCAATATTGTCGGGAAAGGCTCAGCAGTGGTGTAGACGGTCTTCTCAGAGTAGTGCTCGTGCACAGGGCCCTGGGTGACCCTCTTTGTCATGATCGTAAACGTTTGTGGATGCGACGATAGCACGAATTCCCGAATCACCTGCGCAACCCTGGTTCTTTGGAACACTGGATGGCCCAGGTCACGATGAGGTGCGACATTCGAGATCACCAGATATTGGCCCTCGACTTCGTCAACGTCGCCGCTCGCGACAATGCGGGCGTTGGGGTACTGCTCTTGCATGCGGTCTGTGAAAGCCGAGCCCTTCTCACGAAGAGCGCCCTCGTAGATAAATTCCTTATCCCGGACGCTGGCTGGGAATCCGAGCCCTTTGAAGACCACCTTGAAATATTTTGAGCTAGCCCTGTCGCTCTTTGAGATTGTCTCATAGATGGTGGCTATCGCCCGTTGCGTCCGAGCAAGCTTGGCGAAGTCGAAGACATTGATCTCGTATTGTGTCTGCAGCTCCTTGTAGGCTGTCAATGCATTACTCCATGACTCCCCATCCTCAAAGTGTTTGATCATATCGAAGTAGATCTTCTCTTTGCGCTCGAAAGCCGTCTGCGACGGGAAATATGGTTCGAGCAGAGGAGTCGTTTGCTTGGTAGGATCCCAATCGTACAGATCGGCGTGGAGGCGCAAAGCCAGACCGGCTTCAGCATGATTTCTACTTGCAGCCTGAAAGTCGGCAAGCTGATGCACGTATCGAACAAAGATCTCCTCTTTCTGCATGTCGCGCAAGAACTCCATCAATCTCAGTTGGCTTATGAGGTGCGAAGCGTCGTTGGTGCTGTCACTGCTGTGCACAGCCGTGAGGAGATCCAGGAACTCGTCCACGGTTCCCACGAACTCCTGGAGAGCATCGTACAGAGGCTCGTCATCCGATTCCGACAAGGCGCCAAAACGCTCCAGCAGCTCACTCACAAACAACTTCTGAACGATGCTCTCCGTGAGTGGCTTGGTTTTGAAGAAGTTGTCCAAGCAATCAATGACCTCTGTCTGAATGGCGGACAGGTCTTCGCTCAAAGCCCACTCGCTGACGATCATGGTCTGGAGTACCTCGACGGCCATCTTGCGAAGCCCCTCGTGAACACTCAGGCAAAGCTCCACGATCGGCCCAACCAAGGTAGGGACGTACTGGACCTGATATCCGCCCATGCGTTCTAGGCCATACCGGTCTTGCTCTTCGGGTGTCGCATCCCAGCCGATGGCTTCCCATGTCGTTCGTAGTAGTTCGGCACCATGCTCTCTGACATCCCCAGCAATCTTCCAGATCGCGCGACGCTTCTGTTCGGGGAAGGTCTCCAAAGCCAGCGAAGGGCTCCCCACCAACTTGAGCAACGTTGTGAAGAACATTTTCCAAAGTTCGGTGTTGAACCCTTCTGCGTCCTCGGGGTCTGGCATGAAGGACTCAAGCATGAGGTCGGCAATGTATTGCAAAGCTCGCATCGTTGATTTGTGATGATAAATGCGCACGCTCAACCAGTCTTGCGGGAAGGCCTCTCCATTGAGGATACTAAGATGCACCTGAAGGAGGTTCTCTAACATCATTGCCAAATCGTCTTCGGCCAACTCATCCAGTTGCATGCCAGCCGCGGATGTCGATATTGCAGAAAGCACGGCGGCTAGTTCAGCAAGTGCTTCGTCGTGCGTAAGCTCGGCAGCCATTGTTTTAGAAGGGAAGGGGTAGGTACTCGGGAAGAGCAATGACAGGCGGTTGCGTGGTTTCTGTTCTACAGCCAGTAGAGCCAGATAAGAATCGATAATCCCAGGAATATGCTTTGGAACTTCGAGACCAAGATAGTCAATCTGGCTGGCCAGGACGGAGCAACACAACCGTATTTGTGCTCGCCATTGATCGTTAATCTCTGGTGCGTGCCCCCAGTGCGGCGTGATCCAGCGAACAGTGTTCGCGACAAGCACGGAACGCTGTTCGGGGTCTGAGAAAAGACCTATCCTGGAGTAGTTGATGATCAGGATCAGCTTGTATAGCACTAATTTGCCCTTCACATCGGCGCATGAGTCCACAAAGTCAATGGCGATGTGTAGGATCTCTTCAGCACTCAGCAAGCCGACTAGCTCAGGGAGCCATGTATGGAAGTGCTGCACTGCAAGCGTCTGACTACCGACCAGGACGGGGGACGTGTTGCGCATCATCGCATCCAGTGCCTTGAAAATGGACCGCAAGTGGCGGCTGAAACCCGTCGTGGAAGATTTGAGTCCTATGCCAGCCTCCTTGACCTTCTGCTGCCCCCTCGAGTGGGTGATAAACTTGAGTATATGGCGGACCACCTTGAAGGTTGCACGCAATTTGCGGGCTGTCTCGGGCTCTGTTGGGTTTTCAAGTAGCCTGGTGAACGACCGCACCAGACAAGGCGTGGCAAAGGGAAAGTTGAACTCGTTTTCCGCGTAACGGTCAACTATCGGCCCAAGATTGAATCGACGGTCATGCACAATGTCTAGCACCCGGACCAAGGCAGTGAAGACGAGGTCTTCGTATTCATCGTTGCCCGAATACTCGACCAGAATCCCAAAGAGCCCGTTCAGCACGTCGCTTAGCAGCTTGACCACCTCGATTTCAGGCACGAATATCAGCTGCCGTAACATTGGCGGTATGTTGTCTCGGGGCGTATCCTTCCATCTGAGCAGGCCTAGCACCACTCGGTCTTGGGAAAACTTAGTGCTGCAAAGGTATGTATCGACGAAAAGTGTGGCAAGAGGCCCAGTCACCTCGGCAGAGCGCTCGTTGTTACCGCGCGGCGTCCACGGTAGTGACAGATAGCCGCCTTTGCCGACAGGGCCGGGAAGAGGAGTTGACGTGTGCTCGTCAATTTTATAGAGAAGCAAGCCATGCGTGCCGTCGCGGACAAATGCCTGCTGATCCCATAAGGGAATGTGGGCGACAGCGAAAGGTGGATTCGGCATGTCACATAAGAAGAGGACAACATGCGCGTTACACACGTCGCTAGGCGATAGGGAAAGCCGCAGGATCTGGCCCCATGCCTCGCCTCTCTCGACTGCTACCGATTTGAATGTAGTCAAGGCGTCGCCATTTGACGATGCATATATGCAATTTTCGATGCGCTCTCCTGAGTTGAGGCGAACTTCGGCAGTGAGCTGAAAGTTGATCCCTTGCGTAGACACCGGCATGGGGGTGGCACTACCACCATATCGCGAGAGAAGATTCTGCCTAGCTAGTGTTGCTTGGTTGATGGTCAGGTAGATGTCCGAACGTGGTTTCGAGGGAGCACCGGAGAAGCCCATGCGATTCGTTTTGCTGACTCCCGATAGAAGTGTCGGTGTTGCCTTGATCAATGCATCCGCGTCAAGATGACTGAAGCTCCTTAGGTAGATTTGCAAGCGTTCGCCTCTGTTTGATTTCTCGTAATGATTCATCGGGCTGTACATGATTTCCCTGATGATGGGATCCCAGTCATCACCGTAGTCGGCTTTAATCGTAGGCTTCGGAGTCCGCGACCACATGCTCACCACCTGCTCGGACTCTTCGTCTTGTTTGACAACATTGTTGAGTTTGAGAATGCCCACTCCTAGGGTTCTCTGGGTTACTTGCGTGTCACTGACTGGACCACCTGCCCTTGTGCCAGCAGTGCTAGGCGGTCCATTGTCGGTATCATCAGTCGCAGGGCGTTGTTCGGACTGCTCGTTGACAGACTCCATTTTACCGGACGTACCCCGTGATATAGCTGATCGCGCAGTCTTGCTAGCCCACATGAAGCTCCGCCTAGAAGATTTGGTGCCAGGTGCCGACGGTGGCTTGACATTCTCCTTGCCGTAGCCATTGGGAGGGCCTGTTCCGGTTCTTGACGCTGGCTTTGCGACTGCAATGTGCTGCGAAGCCACGATTTTCACCACCAGATAAAGCTCAGACTCTGAAGAGGGTGCATCGCCGATATCTTGGGGCGCAATGTCCGCGAAGAGGGTGCTTGTCTGGGCATGTTTCGCTAGGCCCTCCAGGGTGCCTCCAGCAGCAACGTCTACCATGAAGGGTTCTGACACGCTAGCCAGCTTGCGGCTTGCGGACTTGCTCACCAAGCTGAATAGCAGTGACGTCTCCTCGGACGAAGAACCCGCAAACCCCTTGACGTCCAAGTATAGGTGGTGCCGCGTGCTTGGCTCGCTCGCTGTCTGCGGTGGCTCGTCTAGCAAGCTCATGACCGACTGCAATTGCGTTATCTCGACGGCCGAGTCATCGCCCGTGAGGACTCGACCTTGGGCTTGAGGGTCCCGAACGATGACATCTCCACCGCAGAGCTTGTTGACCTTGACCAAGTCCCAGACCGTCTTCTCGCGTAGCCGATCGTACTCGTGTGCGGTGAGAACGTTGTAGAGAAATTGCTGCCGGCTCAGATCAAGGTCGTTGATGAGCTGAGACAGCTGATTCAGACGGCCATACTGTCGCGTCAGGAGGAGTTCGTGGAGGTTCGTAGAGTGCCACTCCCTCAGGCATGAACCAATTTCGTCAATCAAAGGTTCGGACGCAGATGTCGGCGTTTCGTCACCCACTTTCAGCATGGGCACCGGTGCTGGTGGTCGCGGTGTGCTGGGGTCTCGTGTGACTGGTATAGACAGCTTCGCAGGAGGGTTGTTGGCAAGGTCCTGATGTGTTTTTCTCAATCCTGGCGAAGCCTGTGACGGCCCGTGGTTGTTAATGGCAGCGGCCCTTTCGTCGGTCGGATCGGTCTCGTCGTCGGTCTCGCCAGATTCGCCCAGCAGCTCTCGGACCTCCACGCAGCTTCTAGGGAAGATGCCACTAAATACGCGCGCTTCAAGAGTTTGTCCCTTGACGGATGTCAAGCCGGCCAGCAAACTAGGTGGCGCAACTAAATAGCCGCGCAACCAGTTGCCGTCCGGCGTTTCTTCGATCACATATAGCTCATCACCAATCTCGAGTGGTAGGTCGGCCGGGCTCGAGGGTGCGAATGGGTATGTCGCGATAGCGAAAGCAATTCGGGGCAGCGGCTGCCAGGGCATTGAGATCGCCTAGATCGTGTCTCAGGTGCGCTGCTTCGGGTGGTGGGAGAATGGCTCAGGAACGCGGCAGGATTCGTCGATCCAAGGCGCGCGCGAGGATGTGAAGTCGGGCGAGGCTCGACGGCGAAGGCATCAAGGTGCCCTTGTCTGTGCAGCAATGGAGTCGAGATTGAGTAAGGATATTAACGAAAGTTGACATGTAAATCTCACACTGGGCTGAGATGAGTTTGCTGGGCCGTCCAGGTCCGTACTTGGCTTGTTATTTAGCAGTCCAGTAGCTGCCTTCGCATCCAAATTTCTCGACGTCGTGCGACCCCTGAAGCAGCGCTTCTGGCTGGTGTACCTGGCCAGGGTCGTAGACAAACGGCTGCAAGCCCAAAAAATAAGGAGCCAGAAAACGTGGCCGACAAGCACTAGTCGCAACTATTGCAGTGCTAGTCGAATCATATCCATGTCTGTTTTTCCCCTCGAGTGACAGATCCAATGTTGATGCCTACCAGTAGTACAGTACGGAATACTACGGACGCCTTCAGGTACTTGAACCATAGTACTTGCATGGGATCTGTCTTTCGGTAGGTGCCGCCAGTGTGATCTCGGCGTATGTGACGCCAAGGGACAATAACTTGACTATGCACGAGATCGGGCATCGTGCCTTGTATCAATATTTGATCCTATGCACTATTATTACTCTAGCAATGATTGGCGAGGAAAATTATGGTTCTTATGTTAATAGTGAGCAGATCTCCATCAGACAGCATCCGTGATACCCACACAAGGTGCTCATGTCAAACTTTTGCAATTATAGTAGTATCCTGACACATCAGACAGGGTCAACGTTAGACGTCTTTATGGCAGGCTCACTCGATCAGTTCTGAGATATGCTTTGAAGTTTACATGTAACATGAAAGAATCATCGCCTATCTTCCAATGTCCTTGACTGAAACCTTGTATCTCTAGAAGCTCAAGACTATGGTGCAGGGTAGCCTCTTGCGCCCGACCTCAAATGTAGGTACTGGGATACTTGGTGACTACTGTGTTTGTTTGATTCTCCCGCACTCTCAGAACGTCCAATAACAAATACGTGATTGCATGCACTACCTAAGACGTTTATAGGGTAACATCGACGCCAGTAGATGACCACATGCACGTCTGGCCCGTTGCTTGCTACCTCAGGTACCTTACCTTACCTTACTGTGGCATTATGGCCGGCCCCACACCACGTGTCCGACGTAATATCCTGATGAATCGGCATCAAAGGGACTTTCGCTCATTTGTGTACATTTTTATTGTACCAGGCAGTGAATGCTTGTTTGTCGTCTCGCCCTCAAACCCAATCACACTCTGACGACACCGTTCGCTTGCTGACTGGTCAAACCAGCATCTGCCTGCTACTCGTTGACCTCCATGTCAACCTGCATGCGACCTCTCGTAGAAGGCCTGCCAGATTGTAATATCCCTCAGCGCGCAACACAGCGAAGTTGAGCAGCTCTTTCAGCTGCCCCTCTTGCTATCAACGACTGCTCGCCCGACGCCTGCAGTATCTCTTCGTCGTACTGACACAGGCGCGCGAAAGGTGCAACATCGCTCTTCTCCATCTCTCTGTCGTCCGACTTCCCCACGTCAAGCACGTGTATCGTCGATCATCTTCTGCACGTTAAACCCCTCTTAAGGTGTCATCGTCTCACGCATATTGATTTTCTTGACGTTCTTTCGCTATTTCCGATACCCAGGAAACAAGGGGACGGCAAGTGGCCATCATGGGAACACCATTCATCACTTTCCTCGAGCCTAGTAAGCTCGAGGGATACATGTCTAAAGCTGCCCGAGAGAACCAACCCAGTGCCATCCCCAAAGCTTTCCTCGATGCCATGGAAGTAAGGGAACAAGTCTTCGTCGAGGAGCAAGGAGTGGCTGCGGAGAACGAGTTTGATTCAGATGATTCGCGGTCATGCCACTGGGTCGTCTACGCCAGCGTGAACAAGACTGAAGAGCTGGAGATACGTGACGAGAGTGGCGCTGTCATCCGACCACGCAAAAGCTCAACGCGTTCGGTGCCTGTGGGGACTATTCGACTGGTACCTTTCCCTCACGATCCACATCCAGTGGATGGCGGCGAATACTGGGACGGTAAGCTGAAGGGCGAGGAAGACAAAGTCACCGGTCCCACCGGCCCTCAGAAGCCCTACATCACCGACCGTCCAACAAAGTATCACGATGGAAAAGAACCGTATGTGAAGCTCGGTCGGCTGGCAGTGGTGAAAGAATTTCGTGGCCATAGACTAGCGGGCCTGCTAGTCAAGACTGTCCTCAGCTGGCTCAAGGCGAACCCTGCTTTCTTCAACCCAAGTATCAAGGAGATTGGTCTTGAGAACATGGGTGCCTTCAATGAGCGCGACATTCCCATCTGGAAAGGGCTGGTCTGTGTCCATGCGCAGGAACAAGTTCAGGGGTTGTGGGCCAAATGGGGTTTCCAGCTCGACGACGGGATGGGAACGTGGATGGAAGAAGGCATGCCCCATGTTGGCATGTTTCAACGTCTTGAGGTGAACTCGGATCAGATTAGGATTTAGATACCAGGTATTGCTGCATGCATCATGTGGGGGATTGGGGGATATGAGCATTGACGACTACGACCACAGCAGGCTTGATAAAAGACCATGATTCATTGGACGTTCATTTCATTTGCTCCTGTGAGCTCGGTTTTTATTGAGACTCTAGAGCGAATTGGAGACAATCCGTAGCCGCGTTCCCAAGACCCGAACGCAAAATGCACTTCTGAAAGATGCCGTATCCACGCCAAAAGCCCCCCCCAGAGGTAAGATCCCACGCCAGTTTTCGCAGCCCCAAGTTTTTGCTGCAAAAAACATAAACAAGCGCTTTATCGGTTGGACTTTGCCACACGCTCCAGCTCATCCTTCTTCTTGATAGCGTACGAGTTGCTGCTACCCTTGGCGGCGTTGATCAGCTCCTCAGCGAGGCACTCGGCGATCGACTTGACGTTGCGGAACGAGGCCTCACGGGCACCGGTGGTAAGCAGCGAAATGGCCTGGTTGACGCGGCGCAGAGGCGACACATCGACGGCTTGCCGACGGACGGTACCGGCGGAACCGATACGGGTAGAGTCTTCGCGGGGACCGCAGTTGACAATGGCGTCAACGGCGACCTGGACGGGGTTCTGGTCGGTCATCAGGTGGATCTGTGATAGCTCAAGTCAGCCGTTGTCCTCTGTTCTCGTCCATTGGTCTTGGTGGTTCGGGTGCGACGTACGATCTCGAAAGCGTGGGCAACGATGCGGACGGCCATGAGCTTCTTTCCGTTGTTGCGGCCGTGCATCATGAGCGAGTTGGTGAGACGCTCAATGATGGGGCAGTTGGCCTTGCGGAAGCGCTTGGTGGCATAGCGGCCGGCGGAGTGAGGAAGGTAGACGGGGTTGCGGAGGGAGATGTAGTCACTATATTCCCATCTCGTTAGCCGGCCAATTCCCAAACATTCAGCATCCCCTCTCCCATAGTCTGATTCCCTCTCCATGTTGGCTCTCCGGGGTCGGGTTTTCGGTAGGTAGAACGTACGTTAGGGATATGTCGCGGACCTCAACATCGTAATCCCACTTGTTGAACAGCTTGATGTTGCCGACCTCCTTGACGACATCCTTGGGGAGGATCTCGGGGAGAACAGAGTTCTCGACATCAAGCTCGCCGTTGTCAGACATGTTGGCGGTGGTGCAGTCGTGCTCGTGCTCGTGGGCGGATTGAGACGAAGAGGAGGGGGTTGGACTGCCGTGTTAGTATCGTTGCTGAAGTGCGGTCGCGACGTTCGCTTGAGTGGGAATTTTTCCTTGGTGAGGTCGGAGGTGGGCTTGGTCCCAACGAGGGTTCGAAAAATGGGTGGTGTGGGTTTTGGACCAATCACAGACCACTAAACTTCAAGTACGTACCGGCACACCTCATATGCTTAGGGCACGGCTGCCCTCGCAAACTCCGGTTGTACTGCACCCGCGATTCAAGTGGGATTATGACCTTCTCGACTGAACGCCTTGTCCAAAATTTCCGTTCCCTCCACACGCCCGTTGAACGACAACACATCCAGACAAAATGGTACGAAGCCTGCATCTCCTAATCGAAGCCGACAATGACGCATGACGGCGACGGCGATTATTCCCAGCGAAGATACACCCGGCTAACCTCTTGCGATAACAGGCGCCCACCGCAAAGAAGCAAAAGAAGAAGTGGTCCAAGGGCAAGGTCAAGGACAAGGCCCAGCACGCTGTCATCCTCGACAAGACCACCTCTGACAAGCTCAACAAGGATGTCCAGTCATACCGCCTCGTCACCGTCGCTGTTCTCGTCGACCGCATGAAGATCAACGGCTCGCTCGCCCGCAAGTGCATTGCCGACCTCGAGGAGAGGGGCATCATCCGTCCCATCGTCACCCACAGCAAGATGAAGATTTACAGTATGTTCAACTCAGACAGCCCCGGAGCGTACTCGGAGAGACCTGTACTAACGAGTCAACCAGCCCGTGTCGGTGCTGCCTAAGTTAATGGCTCCACGAACTTGGTATTGGGATATGGCGTCGGGATGGCCTGCTTGATAAAAGGCCCGTAAGGTCAAGGGACGGTGTCAGGCGGAAAAGCCTACAGGGACATCGTTTTTTGCAATGAATGCTCATGGACCGGATTTGCCTCCGAAACGGCGACGAAATGAAAATGACGTTAAATCATCCAAACTCCCACATTGCCCGTGCATGTCTATACTTGCCCCTTCGGAATACGGCATATCCGGGTCTTCCAAGATCTTGACAGCAGCCTAAGTCTGTCTGATCCAATTTGCCACTCTATCTGTCACCGTGTTGACACAAAATTGTCAGTTGCCTTCCTTTCCCTGGTGCTTCTGCTGCTTTGCCACCTTGATTAGAGGATGTCTGTTTCCATGGAACTGGCGAACCAACTACAGTTTTGCTCGACTCATAACTCCTTAAGGGTAGGTGATGAGTGATTTCGCAATGCCATGAATCGCATATTGTCCCCGTCAACGCTTGAGGCATACTGGTTGCTCCTGTGAGACATGTGCTGAATCTGCGGAGATCCAACCAGTGGACGACTACTCGAAGGATTTGATCGCCCGCCTTTTGAGTTACGAGATCGCCTCAACAAAGCCTCCAGCCTCAAGCATAAAAAGAGGTCACCCTCTCGGCAGCCCAACCAGGCTCGGGCTCCCCAATTGAGCGCCAGACCAAGTACTACCTACTGTCGTCTACCAGCATCACGGACTTGTCCGATGCGACGCGCACACCCTTCTATCATTCGCTCGATAATTATCAGACACATTAGCAACAACCGTGGATAGAAGGAGCGACAATGTTGACCGTGGCCGAGAGTATGAAATTATAAATGGTATCGCGAAGCTTGGGGAAGGGGAGCTGGGGAGCTGTGGAGCTGTGGAATGAATGAAAATCAAGTTTCATCATGTCCCATATCATATCGCCTGTGAACAGAACGAAGAACACCAACTCGAAGTAACTAGCAATCAAATCAATGGCCATAGACACACTGCGTTGGCTCACGACCAAGTAAGGCTGCAATCACCATAGTGATATGCATTGGCAAATGTCGTTTGGCTTGTTGTCTGCGTACTGAAAACAAGGACTGGCGATATGAACTCGCAAGAGTCTGAGGAGATGAGGCCCCCCCGTCTTAGCTCGGCTATCTTCGATCGTTCGTATTCGTTGGGTCGGATCCTAACATGATAGCAAAACGACGATGAGGCTATGGTTGCGATATTAAAAGGAGAGTGACCGGCGACACACGCAAGTATCAATTGACTTAATCGGCCGTGATGCTGCTCTCAACACAGCGAAATGGTTAAGCCATCGACGGGCAAACTTGTTACGCGATGGCCGGGGCACACCGCGGTTAGATATGGGCGTCCAAAGGGGTGCCGACGCGCAATTCAACCATGTCTGGGCAGCGAGAATGAACCGGCATCAAGCGGACCCACATCGATCTCGCGGTGTCCGAAGGCTTGGCTTGGGGTAGACAGAATAATGGGCTCAAGGGCAGCGATCAAGAAAAGGGGTTGAAGCGAGAGAAGACTGTTTGTGACCTGCAAGTCGAGCATTTGGGCTGGATAGAATTTGGTGCCGCATTTGGCTCTGGCGGTGCTTGTTCATGAAGGTCGGAAAACTAGAGCACATTGTCGGCAATTGGTAGCTAATCCGAGATTCAATGTCGATACCGGGGCTCGCCTTGCCGCAACCTTTTTTGACCCATTGACTGGGATAGAATGGCCTTGTGGCCTCAGGCTTCCAGGCGTTGTCAGGGAGAGCTGGGGATTGACCGTCCGCGGGCCGTTGATTGGATCCGAAGCGGTAGTGCCCCACCTGGGTGAGCGCTCGCTATCAAACTTGGCCGCCCCTTCCCGGCTGCAATTTTTTCCCTCAGGATTTATTTGGCTCGACACCTCCGAGAATCTTTCTTCCTTTCTCCCACACATCCTCCGTTTTTGTATCCAATCTCCCCTCAGTCCTTTCTCCTCACAGCAAGAGAAAGTCGTCAAGATGTCTCCTACCGATAACAAGGTCCTGGGCATGCCGGTAAGTTGCCCTGAACCGAACGCCGACAAGAGCGCGCCTACGCGACACCGACATAGTCGAGCCGCCCGATGGTCATTGAACAACGAGAGAATCCATTGGAATGGATAGTCCATTGATTCAAGCACACTCTTGTGACATTGCAACCATCGGAGACGTGTCCTCGCTGATGTTGGGCTGGCGCGCGCTTGTCGAGCCGACGGAAGCATCTGTCCTTAAAGTGCGCATCGGCTAACTCAATTCACAGCCCTTCGTGGCGGACTTCCTGAGTATGTTCCATTACAGCATTCAGCGCGCGGACGTCAATATTCTCGTCGACAACATCTAACATGATCAATAGTGGGTGGTGTCTCCGCCGCCGTCTCGAAGACTGCTGCCGCTCCCATCGAGCGTGTCAAGCTCCTGATCCAGAACCAGGTCCGTCCCTTTGTCACATCTACCACTCCGCAACGTATACTTACAATGATTAGGATGAGATGATCAAGTCCGGCCGTCTCTCTCACCGCTACACTGGCATTGGTGACTGCTTCAAGCGCACCGCTGCCGATGAGGGTGTCCTGTCCCTGTGGCGTGGCAACACTGCCAACGTCATCCGTTACTTCCCCACCCAGGCCCTGAACTTCGCTTTCCGTGACAAGTTCAAGAAGATGTTTGGCTTCAAGAAGGAGCGTGATGGTTACGCCTGGTGGATGGCTGGTAACCTGGCCTCCGGTGGTGCTGCCGGTGCCACGTCCATGTTGTTCGTCTACTCTCTGGACTACGCCCGTACCCGTCTTGCCAACGACGCCAAGCACGCCAAGACTGGTGGTGCCCGCCAGTTCAACGGTCTCATTGACGTCTACCGCAAGACCATCGCCTCGGACGGTATTGCTGGTCTGTACCGTGGCTTCATGCCCTCGGTTGCCGGTATCGTTGTCTACCGTGGTCTCTACTTCGGCATGTACGACTCCTTCAAGCCCCTCCTCCCCAAGAGCCTCGAGACCAACTTCTTCGCCTCTTTCGCTCTCGGTTGGTGCGTCACCACCGCTGCCGGTATCGCTGCCTACCCTCTTGACACCATCCGCCGTCGCATGATGATGACCTCTGGTGAGGCCGTCAAGTACAAGTCTTCCCTCGACGCTGCCCGCCAGATCATTGCCAGCAATGGTGTCAAGTCTCTGTTCAACGGTGCTGGTGCCAACATTCTCCGTGGTGTTGCCGGTGCTGGTGTCCTGTCGATCTACGATCAGCTCCAGCTGATCCTCTTCGGCAAGGCCTTCAAGGGTGGATCTGGTTAAACCCATTCCACATGACATTTCCTGTATAGAAACTTCCGTGGCTGTTTACGGTGAGGAGAGTTGGGAGATCGGGTTCGCTCATTTCGATCGACATGTATTTGGTCTCGGCAAAAAGGGAGAGACGTGGATTCGGCAGACAAGGGAGTGCAGATATCCAGAAGTGGTTTACAAGACCGACTTTATCTCTGCGGGTTAGACTGGCATCGGCATGGCGTTATTCGATTACTGGCTTTGCCGTCCTTTCTAAGTCGCTGTAATATACATCTACGCAATTTTCCCTTGTTATAACAACTTGTCTTGCGCGTCTCCGTGCCATTCTGATGCTCATCCTCGCGGGCCATCTTCTTCTCCAAATCACGTGACCTTGGAAGCTACATATCTGTGACCCCGTATCACTGCCACGCGCACCCGTTCGTAACGCGTCTACGCCTAAGACCGGTCATTCACGAGAGGAGCCCCCCAATGCCTCCGCAAAATAACAAAGCGAAGGCCGCGCGTGGTCATCACCCGGGAGCCAAGGCTCCATCAAATGCAGTTGAAGATGACTCTGCCAGCGACCCTTTCGCGTCTGAGGTAGAGGAAGACGTCACCACATCGCGTCAATTGCCTCCTAGGCCACTGTCGGACGAGGCAGAGAGCTCGGATGACAAGACGATACCCCGTGACTTACTCACCCGTCTCCTCCACGAGTTCTTTGCAAAGGATACAACCCGCATATCAAAGGACGCGAATGCATCAGTCGGCAAGTATGTCGATGTTTTTGTGCGGGAAGCATTGGCTCGGACGGCTGTTGAGAAACGGTCCGGGTTCTTGGAGGTGAGCAGCGTCTTCCGAGGCGTGCATCACTGGGTTCTGAGCTGACGGCGTGCCTAGGTCGAAGATTTGGAAAAAGTGACGCCTCAGCTTATGCTTGATCTTTGAGCTGCTTGAGAAGCAAGTCCTTGTCAATATGTTCATGGTGGTCTTTCAATGACGAACGAATGCCCTGAATCCCATCACCTGTTCGCACCTCGCCATCTGCTGGTTATTCAACAAATGCGAACGAATATCTGTGGCTACGGGACGCTTGGCACCTCATGCTGTCTGCACACCCAAGAACCATGCATCCTCGCATTGCTCAAGCTGTCAGCCGAATTGCATATGTACGCGCGATCAATAAGGTTTGAATCGGCCTCACTCATGTTGCGCTCGCCAATTAGGTGACAAGCCGTTGGTCGATGATTCTGCAAAGCTGCGGTTCGCAGAGTTGTCATTCAACCTGCAGGTAGTGCTTGAGGAGTCGCACTGGCATGGTTTCACGACCAACTGATTAGGAAGTATTACACTCCGAAATCAGCAGACTCCAGTGGCCAGAGCATCAACACATAAGACCTAATTAGGCTATCAATAATCACAAGTATGGGCCATAATTTGAATTCAAGTATATGTCTACTGCCCCATTCTAATATGTCATTAGTATGGATTTCTGGAGGTGCTGAGATGAGTGTTGCAGGGGTGAAACCGGGAGCGTCTCGCATTTGTACGAGGCTGCATGTGGAAGGCCGTCAGTCCGCCTGCAGCTTGGCAGCGACCAGCCTCGAGATCATCTCATCCTGAACGTCTCGGTGTTTTTGAAGGGCAATGGGCAAAGTCTGGCAAAAATCTACGCATCCCGCTGCAGAACAGCTGTATTATCTCCAGCATAAAAATGAGGATTTGCCCATGGTCGAACCCTTTCGAGCCCAGGGCTGATGCGCGTATGTACAATAGCCAAGCGCCTGGGATTGAGCGCCACGATACTCCCAGACAGGTCGAGACGTGACCTCAAACTGTTTCGTTTACGGAGTCGCCTCTTGCCGCGGCCTCACTGGCTTCCGGTACCGTGTCTGCTCTCCTGAAGCTGTTTGGGCTCGACCTTGGCCTGGCTCCTCAAACACTGGACGATGGACGGCTCGCAGTCGTTCCGTGAATGTCTGTCGTGTGCTTGAAATAAGAAAGACTGTCTCCCGCTCATGCTCAACCAGTCTGCTTCATCCTCATCCAACTCCTTGTGAAGCTTGACGGTTGTTTCCTTTGACATTTCATTTTCCTTTCTTTCACTTCCCTCTTGTGTTTTTTGATAATACCCATTGAGTTCTCTTCATAAGGCCGGCCTTATTGTGAACCTGTCGCTACCTACTCTTCCGTTGCATCAGCTCGATCTCTGGTAGATCCAACATCTTCTCCTTTCACAGGCGCCCCTTCACACACCAGCCAAGCGCCAAGATGTTCTTCCGCTCGTTCGCATTTGCAGCTGCGCTGCTCAGCATGGCGCAAGCGCAAGGTATGTTCCTTCTCTCCCTCAAATGTCAAAGAGTGTACTGACATGGGATCTCAGCTGTGGATGTACAGGTCGTCTACGTGGGACAGAACCCAGCGAACAATGTGACGGGTCTCAAGTACTGGCCCGAGAACATCAAAGCAGAGCCCGGGACCATGGTCCAGTTCCAGTTCTGGACGGGCAACCACACCATCACACAGTCTTCCTTTGATAAGCCTTGCACCCCTTGGACGCCAGCTGCGAACGAATCCAGCACCCAGATGGAAGCCATCAAGAGCGGCTTCCAGCCCGTGGACGCCAGTTGGATGGATGGGAACATCCCCACGTACACCGTCATGGTCAACGACACGAAGCCATTGTGGTTCTACTGTGGTCAGGGCGCCCATTGCCAGAACGGCATGGCCATGGTGATCAATGAGAAGTAAGTGGACACCCTTTTCTGACCATTTCTCGCGACAATTGCTGATTATCGCAGGGCGGATAGCGGCAAGACCCTGGCAGAGTACAAGCTGGCAGCGGCCACTGTCGGCGACGGCGACGGCGGATCCGGTGGCTCGAGAGACGACGATGCTAGCGACGGGTCCGATGGTGGCAGCTCAGGAGGCGACACTGGCAGTGGCTCTGGTGACGGCTCTGGTGACGGCTCTGGCAGTGACTCTGGTGACGGCTCTGGCAGTGACTCTGGCGACGGCTCTGGCATCGGCTCTGGTGACGGCTCTGGCAGTGGTTCTGGTGATGGCACCGACGGCGAAGACACCCCTGGTAACATTCCCGGCGACGCTGATCAGGTCGGCAACCCGAGTGCAGCCGCCACGGCATGGGCATGGACCACTTCGATGTTACTGGTGGTCGGCGCTGCTGCGGCACTGATCTAGAGATTGCGAGTTTGTACGCCAACAAATATTCGGTTTGGGCGATCTCCTTGTGTCAGATTTCGGAGGAGTTGGATGATAAACAGGTCAAGCTGCTCAATAGCGCTTGCAAGATATTTTGAAATTTCGTAAAAGACACAACTCAGATTCACATAAGTATGCACCTACCGACTTTAGACCTTAGGGATCTTCCTTTTGGCCCTTCCCCTTTGTGCCGGGGCGCAGAGCTGCCTCCTGGGCATCTTGTCCAGCCAGCCCTCTTCCCTCTTCAAGTAGCCGACGCGGTGGTATTTCTTGCTCTTGGCGAAGAAGTCGACCCAGTGTTTCAAGGCGTTGAACGTCTTTTCCTCGGCGGCTGCTCGCTCCTGCTTCTTCATCTCCTCCATCTGCGCCGTCGTCCAGTATGCGTCCACTTCGGGATCGTCGATGGGCAGATACATCTCCTCCACGCCCCGCATGTCAGGCACGGCGTCTTCGGCAAAGCAGCCCGTCACGTAGGCGCGCGCGGCATCGCGGCCGCCGAAGTACTGGTAGGAACCGCCGGGGCCGTAGATGTGTCGCGACACGGAGACGTCGTAGATGGTGCCATTGATGGCGAGATACAGTGGCTTTTCGGGATCTGCGCCGTTGTGCTGCGCAAGCTCTTCTGGGGTCATGTACATCGGGCCAGACTGTAATCACTTGATCAGAATGCGGTTCCAGACCTTGGGGGGCAGAGTGCATTTGGGAATGCCTTACCAGCCTCTCCTTCCAGTAGACAGTGCGAGCGTACTCTGGTAGTTGCACGCCGCCCCATGTCCAGCTGCTGCCGCCGGTTACGACATAGCTGAGTCCGCACGAGGCGACGATGATGAAGCTCAATACGCGGAGAATGTCGAGGTAGAAGCTGGCCTTGTCGTCGTCGTGCGCGTCGTCGTGTATGCTTGAAGGCTTGGTGTGTTCTGGCTCAGCCTTGGCCTTGCGCTGACGCAGCTCAGAGTCCGCCATCGCCTCTGACTCTGATGATGTTGACTTCTCAATCGTTGTCGACGATGTTCACATTTGCTCGAGGTCTGGCTTGGACAAGGTGGCTTTTGCAATGACGGTCCACCCCACATGCTCGCATTCGTGCTTCAGGCGACTAGTAATTCATGCCGCCGCCCCCGGAGCAAGTGGATCCGCCTTGTGCAAAACCCCCATTTGGAACTTGAAAGGTTCCTCCCCAACTGGACTAGAATAAGCATATGGAATTGCAATGAACAGGCAAGGTGAACTTCTTTATATTGCTACGAAAGTCGAAAGAAGCCGAATAAGCTCAACCTTCATCAAGAGTTGTCCACGATGAGGCACTCACGCAGCGGACTGCAACTCCAAGCGTGTAGGGTAGGCATAGAGTCATGGTAGTGGTGTCGTTGTCCAGGCAACCACCGCCTTGGCGGGAAGTCAGTCCATAAACACGCAATCATACCTCCGCGCTCTGAACCCCGGCCTGCTCATCAACGTGCCAACGCCATCCGAGACCCTCCCGCAACTCTACCTTATGCAATTTGTCCCTTTTTAGAGGATCATCAAACGCTAAATAACAATCCGCATGCCAATCGACCAGCCAGCCGTAAATATGGATGACGAGTCGAGCCAGCCAGGCTCACCAGTCGGCAGGCCCCTCCAGGCTATCAACGCCAACGCGCAACAACGCGATTCCCTCAGCACCGTCCACGACAAGATCAGCCAGTTCAACAGTATGAGCATTGCGATGCAGTCCAAACAGCTCGAGCGCAAGACAGCCGACGCAGCCCTGAAACGCGCCATGATCGGGCGCGAGGAGGCCGAGGTGGAGTTGCGCAAGTGCAAGGAGGAGCTGAAAGCATTGCGCAAGGCTGTCGACGAGGGCAAAGAGCGCGAGCGTAGGGTCGGTGAGAGACTGGAGACTGTCATGGTTCGCAAGCACCTTTATGACCAACCGCACCCAAGTTGCTAACCCACAGCGCAGGAGAACTATGGCCGAGCGAAGGAGACACACGCACACACACAAGCTCTCTGGGAGAAGGAGATCCGACGCGCAAGGAAAGAGACGTTCAAGACCCAATCTACGCACGTCAAGTTACAGGAGGAGCTCAAGACAGCTCGCAGCGCGACCAAGACCCTCGAAGAGACCGTCGAGCGCGAGAAGAAGCGAAGCCACATGCGGGAGCAAGATGCTTTCGAAGCGCGCTACCAAATGGTGGGCGTCCAGGAGAAGCTCGAGCAAGCCCTCGCGCTGATCAAAGTCGTTGAGCAAGAGCGTGACGCCTACAAGACTGCAGCTAAGAATGAGGAAGTCGCGCGCATCGCAGCCGAAGGCCGCATCCCCCTACCTGTGTCGCACGATCCGCTAGACGAATTCGCATCACCAGCAAAGAAGACACAAATGAAGAAGAGGAAGCTCAGCGTCGAGCCACGGTACTCACTGTCAACATGGGAGGTCGAAGCCACATCGGCTGCCGAGTTGGAAATCGAGGACCTGACGAGTCAGATCCAATGGGAGAGGCAGCGCGCGGACCGAGCGCAGGAGATGATTGATTTCCTGCGAGCGGAGTGCGAGATGAAGTTCTGTGCCTGCGGCAGAGCACGAGCGCAGATCAGCCGGGACTCGTCTGCATATCAACTTTTGAAGGCCTCTGAACGCCACAGCGAGCCAGCAGAGGAGGCTATGTCTGAGGACACGGAGGAGCAGCTCTCCGACCACCCAGACGAAGCCCCGAGTGAGCACATGCTAGAAGCAGAAGACGATGCGACGGAGCGACCTCTACAAATTATGCAACAAGAATTCTCGAGCGACAACATCCCGATGCCACCGCTTACACCCAGCCCATCACGACCCGCCGCACTTCAGCCTTCTCCCGAGCTAGCCCCCGTAACGTCCAAGAAGGGCCCACGCCTGAGCACAGTCTTCTGCCCTAGCGAAGGGGTGTTTCGAACTGTCTCGGAGCAGGACGCCAGTCTGCTTGAAGCACAGGAAGAGGCGCAAGTCATCGTCCAAGATGCGGATCCTCAAAAGGCAGATCCATCGCCCTACGAGCATGAGGAGGAAGAGACGGAGGAGTTGCCCACGCCTGTCGAGCCCGAAACCGAATTGGACTATACGTCGTCAGCCCGCCTGTACGCACGCACCCCATCCGTTGAGCCCCCGTCGTTCGCCATGCTGGGTCAGCAGCGCACCTCGTTGCTCTCATTGCTTAACGCTCCACATGGGGGCGCCCGGGGCCAAACAATGCCACATGTCCCAATGGTGGAAGATCCCGCTGAGGCGGCAGAATGCCAGGACGAGGAGCAGCCAGATGAGGGAGTGCGCGAACCAGACTTCGAGCCGCCGCCTCGTGCGTCGCTTGAAACACGGCCGCATACTTCAACAGCCCTTTATGGGACTGTCACAACGACTGTCCCTCTCCGAAATGAGGACGAACAGCGCGAGTCGTCCGTGTCCTTCAACGAGAAACTGCGCACGCCCTCCAGCGGCAGCACAGCCAGTTTCGACACAACAAACCCGGCGCTCACGCCCACGATGTCCCGCGAGCAAGCGCTCGCCAAGATCCGCGAGAGGCGAGGTCGTGCCCGCAGTGCTCAGAACGGATCAGCCCCGGCTAGCAGGAATGCCAGCCAGGGGAAGGATAAGAGGGATTTGAGCGCACCTACAAACAAGGTTGCTAGCAAATCGAGATGAGATTGACGAATCAGCTGTGTTGGATTTCAGGCATTCAGCAAGGTGTTTTGCGCAGCAAATGGCGTTCTGGATGATTCAGGGGATTACTTCAATGTTTCTTGGAGTTTGTGTGTTATACGAGGTATTAGCGTGCGTACACTGCTTAATGAACGTTATTCTTCAATTTGCAAATGTCGTTGACGAAGGTTCTTTTTTATAGCCCCATGTTGAGGACAGACCCTCTCAGGATCCTAGAAACCCCCTGGCCATGTTGCGGCCACGTTCCGAGCTTACAGCATCGATCTTGACTGTTACGAGTACACACTCGACACCACCATTGCCAGCCTCCGAAGGACGTATCCGCAGCCTCCACTGACCTTTTCTGACGGTCCATTCTTCTGGTCCCTCTGCTCGCCGCCTCTTCCGAGGGTTGTGACTCGGGCCGTCGTCGTCTTTGAGCATGGCAGCATCTGCCTCATATTCCTTGCCATCCAACAGTATGGCTGCTTCGGGTGGTAGAACCACGTGCACAAGATCTTCGCCGAGGGTAGTGTGGCCTGGCGAAGGGACACGTGCCTCACCGCCGCTCGTGCCCATCCACAATCCCAGCGGTCCCGCTGTAGGCGGCAAGCCCAGCTTTATGGCAATGACCTCGAATAGCTTTCTAATTCTAGCCTTGGTATCGTTGAAAAACTCCGCGCGAGGGTGGCCCGACGCGGGCAGGTGCAGTTTCGTCGTCTCATGGCCAATCTCCAGCACGAGGTCGGCGGCCTTGTCGTCGACATAGGGACGCGCGTAGGTGACCCAGCCGCTGGTCCCCGCGGGTCCGCCGACGTCGTCCCTGACGGACAAGCCGGACTTTTGCACATTTTCCAGACGCAGCACAATCTCCGCGCGCTGTCGCACCTGGTTGAACGATATCTCGTGCGTAATCAGCTTCTGCTCCAGCCCCTTGAAGTGAAAGTAGCGCGCGTCGGCGAGCAGCTTGGCCCGGTGGACCTCGTCGCGTATGTGCACGGGGTACCCCCTAAGGATGCGCAGCAGGTCGGCGAAGATGTCGGCGTCCCGGTTCGGCACGGACGGGGGCAGGATGCTCGGTGGGCGGATGAGGCCCTCGCGGTCGAGCCCGGGGAACAGCTCGTCTGGTCTAGAGAAGAAGGCTGCGAAGCCGAGCGAGAAGAAGTTGGGCGAGTTGCCGGGGGCGCTGAAGGTGCTGCGTGGGATCTGGAACTCGCGGTGGCCGATGGAGATGAAGATGCTCTCCTCGTACAGCTGGCTTATCAGCCTCGGGACTGCAGATTTGGGTGTTTCGTTAGCTTTGCTTCCGCGCTACGGAGGAAGAACTGCAGCCAGACGTACGGGAATAGAATTGCGCATCGGCGAAGAGGCGCACAAAGTGCGTCCCGTCTCTTGGTGTGACATGGTAGCCCTGTAGATGAAGCGCAATGTCGCGAAAGGTCGCGGGGTCGCGATCGATGTAAAGAGTCTTGATGGCGGCGCACGGGTCTTCGTTGTCCTCTCTGGCTCTTTCCAACAGGGCACGGAAATGCTGCGAGAAGTATGATGGTGCTATCGATCTTGTTAGGCCGAATGTCGAGGAGAAGTCCAGTGGAGCAAGCTGTCGGTATACGAACCGTCCGAGGAGATCGACGCGCCAGAGAGGTTAAACGTCTCGCCCCCAATCTGTATCGGGAACACGCGCTCGTGCGGGAGGATGTAGGGGATCTTGAGCGTCCCGTGCGTGGCTACCGCGGTCGTGTTTTGATGCTGTTGTTGATGCTGATGCTGATGCTGATGCTGATGCTGTTGTTGTTGCGGCTGCTGATAGTGCTGGGCAATGTTTGCGCCGGCTTCGCTGGGCCCGTCTTGAGTTGGCTCAGCGGACATTCTGCGACTCGTATCTGTGCGGACAAGGTCTGTAATGCATGTTACTCAGGGTCATGTACCTTGAATACCTGCTGGTAGATGCAGAGATCAATCAATAGCAGCCAGCTGGGTGAACTACATGCCAGCAAGGGTGCCCCTACTAAACACAATGCCCGCATCGCACCCGCTGCCTGTTCCGCTTCTATCTCGAAACCAAAAGTCCCATCAATCGTCGAAGCCTCACCAAACTGATTGGATTTATTCTCAGTGAAGTCACTTTTGGTGGAGAGACAGCCGCTGTGGCTCAAATGGGCGAGTATCAATCTTCATAGCATCACGGGGCGATAGTATGTACGGAGAGCAGCAACAGTTGGCAGTGCAAACCAGGTAAGCATTCCTGCATTTCCGCGAGTGTGCAATGCTACCAGAGTTCACATATTCTGGTGTTTTCGCACTGTCTCATCCGCAACTCCAGCAAGCCTTGTAGATCTGTTGCTGAGTTCGTAGACGCTTAGCTCTTCTCCATCAGCTCAACCCCGTTCCTGATGACACCCACCATGGCTCCGGTCTGCAAAACCTCACTGCCTCCGCCCGCAACCCTGTGCTCAATGTCCGCAAGACCCTCCAGCCACGATATCATGACTTGCGGCTTGACCTCCAGTTTGACCAGCTCCTCCGACAGCGCCGTGATAATGTCGGCCAACGCCAGCCCCCGTGCTATCTTGAGCGAGTTGACCGTATTCAAGCAGCTCGTGACATCCGACGTCTTCAACAGCGTCGCCATGATCTCCTTGACGGCCTCGGGCGGCGGCGCTGCTATGCAGTTGTAGATGGTTTCTGTGGTGATCATCTCCCTCTGTATCGCACTGTCCGGCACCTTGGGCGCGCCGGGCTCGCGCAGCGGCGTGCTCGACGCATGACACGCCTGCAACACGTTCAGTGCCCGTCGCATGTCACCTTTGCTCAACTTGATGAGAGCGTCCACCGCGTCGCCGCCAATCTGCACATTCTCCTCGTCCACAACCTTCTCCACCAAGACCCGAATGTCGCCCTCCTTTAGAGGGCTGAAGCGAAACCGAGTACACCGACTGAGCAGCGCGGGGCTCAATTTGTGCGCGTAATTCGCAATGACGCAGAATCGCGTGTTCACAGTGTACTTCTCCATGATCCTCCGGAGAGCCATCTGCGCCGTGTTCGTCATGGCGTCCGCCTCGTCGAGAATGATCAGCTTGTAGCCTGCCATCCCTTTGCTTCCCGCCCCGCCTGCCATGTTGAAGATCTGTTTTGTGCTGGCAAAAGTCTTGATCTGCTCCCTCACCACATCGATACCACGGTCGTCAGACGCGTTGAGTTCGAGAACCATTTGTCGTATGTTCGCCTCGCCGTAAATGCGCCGCGCGAGCGCGAGGATGGTGGACGTCTTTCCTGTGCCGGGAGGACCGTAGAGAAGGAGATGGGGGAGGCGGTTTGTGTCGATGAATTTGTTGATTGTCGAGAGGATGTCTTGATGGCCGCTCACGTCGGCGAGTGTTGAGGGGCGGTATTTCTCGACCCTAGCCACGGTTCGCTGTCAGAGACAATTCGCATCCCCAGTGAACAGGACTCACCATGGCAGGTTATCTTCCGCTTCGACTGGCAAGTTTGCGGCACTACGCTTGCCTTGCTTGGCTGCGGACGAGAAGGCAATATCGTGGGATGGCGCGGTGCTGTCCACGTCCATCTCGTCCTCGTAATCTGACATGGCGTCGTTTTGGATTCAGACAAATATAGAGCAAGGGTTATAGTCGTTGAGGAAGATGTGCGTCGAATTTGTCGTTGACAGGAGGAATTGGCTGTTCAAATGTGCATATGCATTGACACCAAGGTCATCAGAAGTTGAGACGGCGACGCGTTTAACGACGCGTCGGTCCATCTAAATCCCTGCCCAAGCCTCAAGCCAATCATCTTTCCATCTATTGCGAGATACCCCACAATAGTTTCGACTCAGACTCAAATGTTAGAGCAAGTATGTTATCACCAGTCACATCAATTCCTTCTTCGCTTCAATGCCCAAGGTATCGCCGAGTGTATCGTAATTCATGTCTCTTATAGGTCACAGCGCTCGACCACGCAGCAAGAATATATACGGTTGAAAGAAGATATGTACACAAGTAACCCGCCCCACCCACCACTGCTTAGAGCTCCTCTGATAGATGGTTTGTCCCCATGCCTATCAACTCGAAAATGATGGGGATGCCTGCTGTTGCGAACCATGCAATGCCTAGGAACGTCAGTGCTGCTGCTCATTTCAATCAAAACCAAACACAGGAGGCTTACCCGCGTAAACGACGAGTTTGGTGACGACCTCGACATCATACCTCACACGAGGCCGCACCAGCAGCGAGAACATCTTTTCCTCATCATTTTCGTTATGCTCGTCTACGACGGCATGCACCTGCGCATGGCCATTCTGCCCTTGCGACTCTCTGCCAGCATCCGTCTCGGCCACGTCGCCCATCTGTGCCTTGTACTGTTGCAACGACGACTGCTGCGCGCCAGACGTTTGTGCACAATCAGAAGGGCCTTCCTCTTTGGTGCTTTTTAGCTCCATGTTACTGTTCCTGCTTTTCAGACTTGGGTTGCTGCTCAAGCTCTCCCGCCTCTTGCGCTCTCGGTAAGCCAAGGCCTCGTACGCATCGGCTGCGCTCTGTGGGCCAATGGAGACGGATCGTCCGCGGGTTGTTGGGTGACGAATGCTTTCCACCATGCGTGGAAAGTCGGACGCGGCCGGAAACATGGTGTCCAACTTTGATCCAGGTGGGACAGATTTGTACTCACTCGCCGGCGTGAAAAATCTCCTGGGCAGACTCCACCCTGATGTCTCGATGAGACGAAACAGCGATGGGAGGGTCTTGAGGAGGATGGGCTTCATTGATTCACGCCAGAGAAAGACGATGAGGACCCCGATGACAATTCTCGCCACATTGGTGAGCAAACCTAACGGGGTGATATCGACAGTGCTACCGCCATGAGCGTGCGTCTCCCAAGGGTCCATTGGGATGCGACCATATGTCCATGTTCCGATCTCAAGGCCAATGACCACGCCGGCAAACGATACACTGTCGTCGAAGCAGGGGCAGTCGTCTGCTGGCTCGGGGTGAATCCGAACGAGGATTAATATAACCAACCCGGCAATGAACGGCGCAATCCATGAGCTTGAGTGCATGTACTCATCCAGTGGCGGGCCGTAATAAAACTCGACGAGCGAAATCGCTGCTCCCAGTATCGAACCAATGATCACATCAAGGAACCCATGCATTCCGCAGTACAGCCTCCCAAATACAATCGAGACGGCATAAAAGTAGGCGAGGATCTCTAGACAAAACCTGGTCGTTGGCGGCAGCGCATTGTCCGGATCCTTCAGCAACAACAAGCCATAGACAGCCACCGAGACTGCGTTGGCGCTATGTGTCGAGGGGAACCCATATTCCAGGGCTGCGGAGCCAGACATGGTGATCCGATGTAAAGGCGGCGACAGAGGTCGGGGAAGCGAGTAGAAGTCCTTGATGAACCCTGTCCAAAACACCCCAAGAGCCAGGATATGCACAAGACTGTTTAATCGTGAGCGGTTGCCTTGTCATAACCCGGCATTGTCTGTCAACCTACCCCTTCCCAAACGCCGGATAGCCACACCAGAAGAGGATCGGCAACCCAATCATGAAGAACGTATGCGTCCCCAAGTTCGCCGTGATGGCAAAGTAGCTGTCCAGCGCTGGCGTGCGTAGGTTATCCTGCATCCATGCCAGATAGGGTGTCTCCCATCGTATCAGAGGGAGTGCGCTCTGGCGCAAAGCATACCGCCATTTGGGAAGCGCTCTCTTGTCTACGAGACCGCATTAGCCCTCGACCGGGGGAGGTACAGTAGGATTGCGCACAGTGGTCGAGACTACGCAGACCAGCGTCAGGTACGTCTGCGCCTTCGCCGCTCGCTTTGGGGTGGGACATGGTCGTCGTCGGTAAGAGGATGAGGAGAGACCATGTATCGGTCGGCTGTCGAGGATCGTGGGGTTCAGTATTAGGAGGGGTTCAACATTGAGCCACCTCGCCTCGGTGCAGGCGCTTCAATGCTTTCGAATGCTCGAGTAAGGCGATGAGAGTGCTTGAAAAAGGCGCGGCAGCTCGAGCAAGACGAATGGCCGTGAAGGGGCGCGACTGGCTGCGGAGGTGCGTGACCCGTCAATGAGTTGACGGTCGTGGAGGAGGATGGCTTGAACTTGAGCTTATTTGAACTCTAGAGCAACCTCAATCGCAATGCCGCCTGGAATCCGTCCGTCCCCCACCAGTCCGTCCAGGAATGATTGGCTGGCCCCTGTCGTTTGCCAAGGCCATTAGCTAGAATATAGTACTCGACGCTGTCCTTCGTCATTGAAGGATAGTTAATCACATTAATCCATACCAAGGTTGTTGTTGCGCAGGTGTCAGGACTTGCCGTTGCACCAGGTTGGACTGAACGATTCTATTACCAGCAGCGTTACTCACTCACTCACGAGCATCAACAATGACATCGCGTCTGGCTGGCAAGCATGCAGCCATCATCGGCGCGACGGGTTCCATCGGCTCCAGCATTGCCAAAGCATTTGCGCAACAAGGCGCCGTGCTGTCTCTACTCGGGAGGACAGCCCTTGACGCACAGCGGACATTAGGCCCTCAGCTCACGCCCTATCAGCCATTGGCTGGCGACTCATCTAAGGCACCTACCGAGCACCGATTTATCAAGCTCGACGTCACATCGTCAGCCGAACTCAAGAGACTCTTCTCGTCCCGAAAGGCAACTGTTCGTCACAGCAGGCACTGCTCACCTACCACCATTGCTGATGCGAATTAGGACGATGCCGTTGGCGCGGTGGACATCCTGGTCAACTGCGCAGGCATCACGCAGACGACCATCTTGAAGCGCACCCACGATGAAGACATTGAGAAGGTCATGGATACGAATCTGACCTCGGCTATACTTGCGTGCAAACACGCCCAGATAAATGACAATGGTAATTGCTGACCTCACGTCCCCAAGTACCACATCCTCACTGAGAATAGGCTGTATCCTCAACGTTTCCAGCCTGATGGCGACGCGTCCCGCCATCGGAGCTGCCGTCTACACTGCCGCCAAGGCGGGCATGATTGGTACGTGAACAGGTCGTGTATTGCTCAAATATCTCTGATGCTTGCTTGTTTGTTGGAATATGCGCTGACTCTGTATCAGGGCTCACGAGCGCCCTGTCTCTAGAACTCGCCCCGCGATCAGTTCGCGCAAACGCCCTCTTGCCAGGCTGGGTAGAAAGTCCAATGTGGAATAGTATGTACGCCTTTTTCCCCTTTTCCTGGTCGTCCGAATCCCAATCATCGATTCCCTGGTTCGCCTCGCATCTCTCGTAAAATGAAAACCAGAAGCCGGTATAAACCTGTACATGGTGGCTAATATTACATCACAACAACCGTAGATCTGAAGCCCGACCTCAAGGAACAGTATCTCAAGAGGATACCGGCCCGGCGCGTGGCGGCTCCGGAGGAGGTGGCTGATGCTGCTGTTTTCTTGGCGGCAAACTCCTACGCAAACAACTGCATCCTAAATTTGGATGGTGGGCTGAGTGCGGCATGAGAGCATCAATCCTCTATAACAATAGTGCCGCCAGCGTCCTCGATGGTCACGACCTCATTATCCATGGCTCCTGTCCGCTTGGCTTTCTTCGGTTGCTGCTCACTCTCGTCCCCGTCCGGATGTGAGCGCTTTAGCCCCGACCCAACGGTCATATCGACGCTGGCTTCAGGGTCAGCACCGCCGGTGGTGTGGCCGTTCGGTTCCGATGCTGATGGCTTCTGCGGTTTCTTGGGAATCTCGGGCCGCTCGCTCGTGGGGGATCTGAACGCTGGTTCGTCGTCGCTGAATTTGCCTTCTTCGACATTGATCACGACGTTGACCAATGTGTCTTCGTCATCCTCGTCAATCACCGTGAGGAAGCTGCCGTCATTGATCTTGAGCTCCTGTAGCTTTTTCGGGAGATTGTCCACTTCATCAGGGTCATACAGAACACCGACGTCGTTATTCAGGACGAATTCCTTTTCGCCGAAACCGAGATGTTTCCTCAGGAACCCTTCCACAACATCTTCAAGGGTTGTTCTCGATGGATCCACCACGATTGTAGCATTGAATACACCGCAGACCGGACAGGCTGGGTTGGGCTCCCGCGACCGATCAGGTGCCAGAAGACGGCCATAAGCAAAGGGCGTCAGGAAAACCTGTCGAGTCAGTTAGTTGGAAAAGATACGTATTTAGAAAGCAGTACTCACCTCTTTTGCTTGCCGATATTCTCCTTTGAGAACCTTGAAAGATTGCAAGACACACAAACCAGCTACAATGGCGTTCGTGGTCGCAATGGCTGGTATAATGTTTCCCGCCATCTTCTTCACGTCAAACCGGGACTCCTTGTCAATACCGAAGATTGTTGAGCGAATATTGGAGGTTGCTGTCACAAAGTCCAAAGTATCCGGATCATCTTTGTCGAAGGTGATCACCGGGTCAGGACCATCTGGTGTTTTGGCCTTCTTCATGGCAAGCAAGCGTCTGCTCAAACGATCCAAGCTGTCGTTGAAGACCGCGAGGTTCTCCTCGACGGACCATGTGCGTTGGTCATCGGCGAGAATGAGGTCTTTCTTGCTTACGGCGTCACTCGATTGAGCCAAAAGGGCGTCGTATGCAAGCGGCTCAGGGGCTCTCCGAGTCTTCCACATGTCCTCCACACTGCGTAGTCTCTCAATGTCGGCGTTGAAGACCTTGTCGAACAGCATCTGTGGGAAATCTGACGTGCCAACAGCGGCACGAATATTCTTCAGCGCCTCAGACTCCCGCTTCAACTCCTCGATCTCCTTTGCTAGGGAATGTCAGTCTACCGCGAATTAGCAGCCAAGTCAAATCACATACCATTATCAGCATCTTCTGAATGATCAAATGCCCCCTCTTCCTCGCTAGTGCCAAATATCTCACTAAACTCTGTCAGTCATAATCGCCCAGAGGAATAGAGCTGCTGGCATACTTTAAGAGATAATTCTTGGCCCACACAATGCAGTGAATCGGCTGGCTGGGTGTACTCCGAATGGTGCAGATAGGGAAGGATTTCGGGACCTCCTTCGGACTGCAATCATAGCATGCGGTGATTCCTTTCTTGATGACTTGGACTTGGCCATTGAATCCAGTTGTGCCGCTCTCAATGAGCGGAACGTCCGCTGCCAAACACATTTTGTTCACGTGCCGACGCGCCTCGAGGTTGTCCAGCGCGTTGAAGACCACTCGGAAATCCCGAAACCACGAGACATTGAATTGGGTGTCTTTGATGTTGGCATGGTGCGCAACGATGTTGACCTTCGGGTTGAATTTTCGCGCCGCATCCTTGGCTACCAAGGCCTTTGACTTTTTGATGTGCTCGTGTCGAAACAAAAACTGCCTATTGAGATTCGAGAGGTCAATCGTGTCGAGGTCGACAACGTGTATTTCGCCGAAGCCGCTGAGCACGAGATTCTTGAGCAGTTCGCAGCCAATGCCGCCGGCGCCAACCATCAAAACTCGCGCCTTTACAGTGGTCAGTAGCTGCCGTGGTATTCTTCTACTCCGGATCACACCATACCTGCTTCACATTGCTATTGAGATAGGGTCCCAATGACTGCTGGTTGAACCTGTCGCGCGGCGCAACTTGCCTGCGCTGCGGCGGCGGCTGCTGCTCGCTTTTAGGTTTCGGGGCACCTTGCGCAGTCTGAGATGCATCCGTTCGATTTTGCAGTGGTTTTTTCTGAGCGTCGGTGGACGCGCGGTTGCCGCCAGCAGCAGGCGCAGGTGCTGTGGTCGTTGTAACGGCCTCCATCGCTGCCTTCACGTTGGCGGGTGATCGCAGTCGTGACAGTCAGGGTCGTCGTTCAGTCGCGAGGATCCAGACCTCTCGTTCGGTGGATGGGTGCAAAAAGCGAGGAGGGAAAGCCCAGGATCGTCCCACCGCTCCTCGATATAAGTTGTCTTTCCCACTGTATCAGTCGAGTGAATGCTAAGGTGAGATAATACTGAGTGGCACGACGACGGGATCAGAGCGGAAGTGCTAGGCGCAATTTCGCAGCCAATGAGGATCCCCTTTGAAGTGACCAAAAGGGCTCCACTGAGCCTTGGGTCGACCGGGGGCTCTAGCGGCCTCTTAGAGGCACCTGTGATTGGCTCACCGGCTTGCGCAACAGCAACTGCACGAAAGTCGCTGTGGCATGCACGTTGACGCAGATGGCCCCATTCCAAGTAACGCTGTTGATCGTGTGCTGCCCAAAGTGACCGCAGAGAGATGTGCAACTGACTCTGATGTGTTTGTTTCTTTCAGGAGACATCCAAGAGGCGAAGAATGCATCTCAAAGTCGGCCATCCATCTGTGTTGTCGAAGCACTGCTGCTAGGCTGGGATCAGGTCGGGCTCAGTGTCCGACGATGCTTTCCCGCAGGGTTTTCAGAATGCCGGTTCCTAACACCGAAAGTCCACAACCGTAGACCGCCATCCTGTTCCTGCTGTTCATTCTTTTCCATCTCGATTTCACACACGTAGGTTCACCATGTCTTCAGATGATGAAGCCGATCCTGAGCTTGTGGAGCTTCTGCGCCAACACTTCCAGGGCAAGCTCGCTGTAAAGGAGGATGTTGACACCGGTGTCCTCGATGGGTGCGAGTACATCTATGACAATTGCATCGACGTGGCTGTTGATATGCGAGCTTCAAAGGCGGCAGCCGAGACAATTTTTAACAAAATGGCTGATCAGGGTTATTCCATGTCTTCCTGGTCTGAACATGAACTTCACCCCAAAACCAAGGATGAGGCAACTGTGGATTTCATCTTCACTATGGACCTATTGAACTTCTCTTTCTGGTCAGAACTGCCGGAAGATGAACGGTTTGCGATCGAGTACAGAGGCCGGAGATGGACAGGCTACTGGAGTTTAGTCGCTGGTCTGCAAAGAGCGCTGGAAGAGGGTATGGGATGCCGGTTGTGTTGCGCCCCGACTCCTGTAACTAACGAGCTCAGGGATACCCATCACAGACCCCCAATTCTGGCGTGACGAGCGCGAGTGCAACCTTGAAAAGCTAAGGTATATCTTCCGGTCCTGCACTGATGAAGACATGCCCATGCTCAAGGAACGCCTGGACTGCCTTCAGGAAGCAAGCCAGGTTTTGTACGAGGTATGAACCTCGACAGCACTAAAATCCTCATTAACAGATCCACAGCGCTATGACAGCTCCGCCGCCAATCTCGTTGACGCCGCCGATGGTTCAGCGGCACGTCTCGTGAATCTCCTGGCTCAAGACTTTCAGTGCCTCCGTGACGAACACGTATACGAGGGCCGCACGAAGCCGGTGCGCTTTCTCAAACGGGCTCAGATATTCGTCGCCGATCTGTGGGCTTGCTTCGAGAGTCAGTCGTTCGGCGAATTCCATGATATCGACAAGATCACAATGTTTGCGGACTACCGCATACCACAGATCTTGACATCTCTCGGTGCACTGTACTGCAGTCCCACGGTGACAGCGGCCATCAAAGACAAAAAGCTTCTCGAGAGTGGTGGAAAGTTGGAGATGCAGCTTAGAGGTATGTTTCAAACTGGTGTGCGTATTGTGGTTTGCGCTGACAACCGCCAGCTTGCAGTATCTGGGCTGTAGAGCTCATCAGGAGGGAAATCAAGCGACAGCATCCCAAGGCAGACATTAACGCAATTCTCATAGATTTCTTCCTTTACGACACTATCAAGGAGATGGAGGCTCAGGGAAAGGAGCCCCTGCCACACCACCGCACCAGAAGCATATGGTACTGAAGAATGCGGACAAGACGAACGCGGCAACGCAAGATGACACATACATTTACATGTTCGAGAAATACCTTCCAATTCGTCATAAGGCGGTGACTTCAACAACTCAGTGAAGACCAGCAAGCCTCGAAAACCTTGCGCCATTGCATTGTTCGTTCATGCCGTCGCACCAACAGCGATGCTTCCCATGATCTTATCCATTTGAGCCTTCTCAAAGTCCTTGTTCTTGTTCTTGTCCTCTTTCAACAGCACGGCAAGGACTTCGATGGGTGGGTTGAGTCCTAGCTTCTCTGCCCTTTGCCAGCGCCTTGTCCGAGTAATACCAATGCAAGGCTGTGGTGGTTAGCATCTTCGATCTAGTAGAATGCCTGTTGGTACTTACCCCATATTGCGAGCTGACGTCGAAATACCGCAAGATCTTTTCGTGAGTTGACAAGCCCTCCTGATGGACACGCGGCGCCATCCTCTCCTTTTCAATACCCTTCCAGTACTTGTTTATGTGGGCGTCCGTCATCTTCTCAGCCTTGAGCTCCGCCTCGGATGCTCGCTCTGGATCTACGACCTCCTCCTCCGCCTCTAGCTCCTCCGCCTCGGTTTCCACCTGCGTTGGAGTGACATCGTCGACGGTGTCGGCCTCGGCCGGCGTGGGTGGAAGCTCAACTTTGGAGACAGATGGTGAAAGGGCTGCCTTTTTGGCGTCATGCCCGACATTTTTTGTGACTTTGCTGTGGAAGCTGAGGGTCGATTGTCCCTTGGCTGGGCCTGTTGAACGTGTGGTACGGGCCATTGTGAGAGCAAGCTGAATGCGGCAGTGATTGAGTAAGTGTCGCCGTGTCAAAGAGGAAATGAAGTGTATGCTGACAAGGACACTGGCTGACGCTTGAATACAATGTTATCATATAATTCCTGAGTAATGGAATCGATGTTTAAGATCTTGGAGAGTTTTTGAGATCACAGTACGGAGTAACAAATGCAGGCACGAAAACGTCCCTAGCCGGCGCCTATGTCTACGTCGATCATAGTGGGCGTCATAGCAACGCCTGTGGCCGCGACATGAATGAGGCTGGCACGTGACTCGGTTTATGATTGCCCAGCCACATCCATGAGGTAAGGTGAAGTATGCCACGATGACGTTTGGAAGTCCCTTGAAAGCTCCAAAACAATCGACTTGCTTACATACTTACGCAGTATGAACATCGTTATATTGGTGAAGCTCCAAAGAGGAACCCTTAGAGAGCTGGTACACCCCAGTTGTCCGCCTGCGACCTTCACTGGACGGATCAACGCTCAGCGGGGCAACGCGACCTTGGAGCGTAAGCACGTGACCGCTCCGACGCCAGCGCCAGCGTCGGCATGTGCAGTTCGTCGTTTGGAGTTCGTCGTTTGGAGTTCGTCGTTTGGAGCTCGTCGTTTGGAGTTCATTAGATCAACTGCATGTATACGCCGTGCTCACGCGTCTTTTTCGAGAATACCCTTGCTGTCCGTAAGCCCTTTGATCTAACCACCTGTAGCCTCGCGATAGAAGGAGATACTGCGGTTCGCACCAGCCGTGCAGAACATCTCGCTTCTTCCGGTCTTGGGCAACCACCTCGCAGCCCACAACGCCTTATCTGTCTCGCTGTGTGTTGCAACGCAAGTGCTGCGCTCCACGGACCACACCTTTGCCTTGCCATCCATCGCGCCGCTGAGAAGATACTCCCCACTGTCGCTCCAGTCCAGAGTGGTGATCCAGGACGCATGACCTGTCAGATTACTAACGTGCTCGCCGTGCTTCATGTCGTAAATGGCGATGATGCCGGCATCGCCTGCGGCGGCCAGCCTGGTGCTGCCAGGCGAGAAAGCGACTGCGCGGACGGGTTTCGCGAGGCCTGTCTCATGTCAGCTTGTCTCGTGCATAGAGGATTACATGCAAACTAACCCGAGAGTGAGAACGCTATGCGCCCTGTGTCGTTGTTGAAGATGTAGATCGCTCCATTTTGATGCCCACTTGCCGTGAACTTTCCATCCATGCTCAAATCGACGCTCATACCAAAGCTGCCTGAACCAGGGCTTCCCGTTTCGTAGTCTTGAATCTTTGGCTTGCCCTCTTTTGTGGTGTCCCACACATTGATCCTACCGTCGTTGGTCGTGGCGGCCAGGTAGCTGCCATCCTCACTCAGAGCCAACGCCCAAGCCTCGCCGGGTCTAGTTGCTGAAGTTGACACTTCACCGTCTTGAATCCATTCTCCATTGTCCTGGTTGAAAGCCCATAGTTCCACTTCGCCCCCAAATCCGGCACTGGCCGCGACACGCCCATTTCGTGAGGCACAGATATGGTGGCAGCCCAGCTTGTGTGCGTTTGAGATGGATTGCTTCAGTGGGAAAGAGGGATCCGTAGTGTCGTAGATGTGCAAAGTTGACGAACCACTACCGGACAGTACAGCTTTTGGAGTGGTCGCTAAAGCGAAGATATCAGTTGTGTGAGCTGCAAAGACATGTGAGCTCAACTTGATCATGACGTTAGCGGGGCACAGCCAGCTCACCATTGTCAACCGTATGCGTGGTCAAATACTGCTTTGACTACATCTGGTCAGCTTTGAAGTTGCCTAGACAATGATCAAGCATATGACTGACCATCCTGCCGCTCAGGAGTACCTATTGCTAGGCTTTCAAATGGTTGGTGGATGAAGGAAGCAGAAATGGTAGTGGGGCAATAGACCTGACGAACTGAGGGTTGGTCATAGACATCGGTTTCATGCATCGTCACTGAGCATGCTTTCAAGAATAGCGCTCGCCCACAATGAACTATTGCGAAACAAGGTACAGACACCTGCAAGATGTAAGGGCAATACTTGCTTGAGTGCTTGTCTATCAGCTATGCGGACATTTCACATGCTACATATGAAGAGTTGCTCAATCTTGCGGCACGCAGTTGCAAATTATACCCAAATTGTTCACTGATGCCACATGGAAAGCAAACGCCAACTTCATGCATATTCCGCACCGCGTACACGAAACACATGCTCTTGTCCCCGGTGTATTTTACAAGATTATACATATCCGCACTCAATAGCTCAGGCGATGGGCGCTGGGGGGAAGTCCTCTTTCCATATCCGTCGCATGTCTACAAAGATGATTAGTTCCCAGTATGAAAGTGCTTCGTGACCACGTACCCTCGAGGCAGTTCTGGCAGAGACGATGAGTCCTCTTGGCTTGACCGCACCCCGGGCACTTGCACAAGTGGTTCACATCCTTCAGTGCCTTGCCAGCCATTTGCCTCTGCCTCTTCCTCGAATGCGATGTCTTATTCTTCGGTACGGCGCGTAGGATGCCCTCCCATATGTCGCCCAAAAGCCCAGGCAAGCTGATGCTCACACCAGGTACAGCGATCGAAAGCGTCGGTAAAAAGGGTAGGCTGTATCTGGAGGTATACAATCTCGCCCAGCGTGAGACAGCTGGCACAGCTGGGAGTGCCAGGCGGGGAAGCAATGGTGCCGCAACCGTTGCCATATTGATAATATCAGGATAACGAGCCTTACGTGCGATGCGGCAGTTCAGAGTCGGGCTTGGTCCAATGGTGAGGCGGTCGTTTTCGGATAATGCGAAAGCCTCTTGGCACGGTCGATTTTGGACAGTCTGATGCCGTCGGATATTCAGCGACGTTGGGCCACGCGTGGTTGTCGTGGGTTGCGCTGAAGCCTCAAGTCATGAGTTTCGCGATGCATCTTCAAAAGATTTCCAGACTGGCGAGATACGAGCCCAGTGTTGTGGAGCGGAGGGCCAATCAGAATTGCCATGTGCACGGTCACCCTCTGAGCCAATGAAGTGCGCTAGCGGCAAGTGAACCCCTGCACTTTCCCCCTTTCTTAGTCCCGTTGTCCCTGCCTTCCCCCCCAGGACTGAAATTGCTGTGCTAAAGTCGAGTCGGGTGCCAGTGGACGGCAGAGGAAGGGGCCCCAAAAAAGTTGACCGTCTCCTGGCAGTTGCTGCCTTTGCTTGTCACCTCCCGACTCGTAAACGACCCCTTCGAAGCAGGCATTGTTGTCTTTTGTCTCTGTCCAACCTCGTCACCCGCGTTCTCGTGCACTGATACAGCTTGGGCGTCGAACCGGAAGGCTTTCCTTGGAATAGACACAACATTCTCCTGATCTTCGCGAGTCCAACAGCAACCGTCACCGTATCCCGATCCCTCTGTCAGCTCCCCTAACGACAAGATGGCCGCCGCTCCTCCCAACACCATCTACCCTAACAGCCATGTCGGTTTCGACAGCATCACTTCGCAAATTGAGCGCAAGCTCTTGAAGCGTGGTTTCCAGTTCAATGTCATCTGTGTTGGTACGTCGGACACGTATGAGCTGTCCATTGACAGCTACCCCTTCTTCGCTAGCTCTGCGCAAGCATTCCGACCGCCGGATAGTAGCTGACTTCAATTCTTCAATTAGGTCAAACCGGTCTCGGAAAATCGACTCTCATCAACACTATCTTCGCGTCGCACCTGATCGACTCGAAGGGTCGCCTGCAGCCAGACGAGCCTGTCCGCTCCACCACCGAGATCCAAGCTGTGTCACACATCATCGAGGAGAATGGCGTCCGCCTGCGCTTGAACATCGTCGACACTCCTGGGTATGGCGATCTCGTTAACAACGACAGGTGCTGGGATCCCATCGTCAAGTACATCAAGGATCAGCACTCGGCGTACTTGCGAAAGGAGCTTACAGCTCAACGAGAGCGCTACATTCAGGACACGCGTATTCACGCGTGTCTCTTCTTCATCCAACCATCGGGTCACTCCTTGAAGCCAATCGATATCGTCGTGCTCAAGAAGCTTTCGGATGTTGTCAATGTCGTGCCTGTCATTGCCAAGGCCGATACTCTGACCGTTGAGGAGCGCCTCGAGTTCAAGGAGCGCATCAAGGAGGAGTTTGCCTTCCACAACCTCAAGATGTTCCCGTACGATAATGAGGAGTTTGACGACGAGGAACGTGCCTTGAACGGAAAGATCAAGGTATGAAATCTCGATTAACCAACAACGTGTCTATACTAACTTTAGCAGAGCCTTGTTCCCTTTGCTGTCGTAGGATCTGAGAAGAACATCATCGTCGATGGCAAGCAGGTTCGCGGTCGTCAAAACCGCTGGGGCGTGATCAACGTGGAGGATGAGAAGCACTGCGAGTTCATCTACCTCAGAGACTTCCTTCTCCGTACTCACCTGCAGGATCTCATCGAGACCACGTCGCAAACCCATTACGAGACTTTCCGCGCCAAGCAACTCCTGGCACTCAAGGAAAGCAGTGCTCACGGAACTGGTGGCGGCAGCCGTCCCATCAGTCCCTCAGCCGACCGCGAGTTGAGCCGCAGCTCCCAACGCATGACCATGAACGGTTACTAAGCTTCACATCCACTGTGAGCTGAACAGAGGAGCTACGGAGTCTTGGGGCAGAGCGTACTCGCGAATGGTCATGTTGCGGACGAAGCTTGCGCAACCCTCTGCGAGCGGACAATGGCCAATAATAGGTGACTAGAAGGCGGCTGCTGGGGTAAAAGGCGAGGAAGTATACCTGTGGTCTTGCGTCCCGGCCCAGCAGTACTCCAATTTGGCGTTGACTGTTCTTCGAGCTTTCAGGTACCCAGCTGAATACCTTGGAATAGGGATCTTTTACTTTGTGTTTAGTATTACCCCCGAGCTTATTGCCGTTTCATATGCTTTAATCAATGATTGCAAGACTCTTTGCTAGGTGTTCGGTCCCACGTGGTCTAATTACATGAACGCTCAATAACCGCGATGACGATGTACTCTTATTCTCCTTTAGGCCGCGGGTTTGTAGATGAAGTCTTCCAATGTTTTGTAGGCGGTCTCCAAGTCGTCGTTCACGATAATGGTGTCATGTACGCCAGAAACCTTGGAGAATTCCAGCTCTTTCTTTGCTTGGCTCAGCCTCTTCTGGAGGCTTTCCTCGGTTTCGGTCTGGCGTCCGCGCAACCTCTGTTCTAGAGTCTCCAAAGCAGGTTCCGGAGGAGAGATGAAGATATATCTAGCGTCAATCCCAGATTGCTTGATTTGCTTGACGCCCTAATGAGTCGTGAGTGGGCTGTGTATCGTTTGCATGGGGTGGCACAGCACTGACCTCCATTTCAATGTCGAGCAGCACAACCTTACCTTTCCTCTCCTGCTCCTGGATGGTCTTTTTGCTGGTACCGTAACGGTTGCCTCCGAATTTGGCGTGCTCAACAAACCCGTCTTTCGCGATGAGGTCCTCGAAGTCCTGCATCGTGACAAAGTGGTAGTTCACGCCATCCTGCTCGCCATTGCGGGGCGCCCTGGTGGTGTGCGAAACAGATAGGGTGAAACAGTCGGGATGCCGCCGGAAGAGAAGCTCGTATAGAGTGCCCTTGCCAACACCGGAAGGGCCAGACAGGACAATGGGCCTGGTGTCGACGGGTGCTATCCTTAATTAGTTTTTTATCGCCAGTCGCGCACGGAAAATAACGAACGTGTTGCCATGTTGCTGCGGAGACGAAGGATTTGTAGTCGACGAAGGGAGAATGTGCGGATCGGCGCAATGCTGGACAGTCGAAGAATCATGCGGATGTTGGTGATCGTTCCACGCCTGTTCGACTCCTATGAGGCGAGGCAAGAGCGGCGAGGCTGTCCCTTTTTTTTTTCTATCGTCGTAGTGGCTCTGGCGGGGTTGCAACAAGGGTAAGCGGTATGCGCAATCCGGGGTACCGTGCGTCCATCTTACCACGCTGCCCAGTACTTCATGTTCGATACATGGTGGTATTTCGCCAATAACTCGACCTCTAATGGTGGTTTGGAAAACATACGTCGTATGCCAGAATGCTTGTCGTTGTCTATGTGCCTCCTGTGCAGCGCGTGGTGGTGTGGTGTAAAACCACATCCGGAGCACATGGCTCGTAGTCACTGGTTCCCACAACCTGGCCACGGCTGTTAATGCTGTATTGGAACTCGGGATCCGACTCGCGTAGTGAATGCAATGTGTTGTCCCGCCTCACAATATAGCTACACTAACCTACCGTTGGAATCTCTCCCAAAGCATCGCAGATTGCCCAGACCAGTCATGCCATACCGCAAAGGAGCCTACCGAGACGGCGAGCAGGTGGGATAATGCATGTTTTTAACGTCTTGAATTATTTTGTATTGCATTCCTCTTTGACATCGTCATCCGCTTTCTAAATGGCATACCCTTACACAGCCCTTACTTTATGCGAGTTGTAAAGGCTAGAACATCAGATCTTGAACGCCAGTCGTACATGAACTGGCAAGTCATAAACTTCCCCCAACGTCTATCCATCTGCGACCCCTATGGCCATCGGACCTCTCTATGCCGAGAACTCCTGAGCCTTGCTCTCCTCCCACTTGCCTGGGACAAGAGCAAGGGGCACGATACCCGACACGTGCATGTCCGGACCGAAGACCTTGGCGTTGATACCGAGCTCCTGGGTAGCAGCCTTGATGTTCTTGAGCCCCTCCTGGTAGTTAGGGCCGGCACGACGGACCCAAATCTGAACGTTGTGCTCATTTAGCTGAGTAGCAAAGTCACGTAGTGCGCGGATCACACCCTTGAAGGTGCTCGCAACGTTGGTGAAGTTGGCAATACCGCCACCAATGAACAGAACCTTGCCCTTGTCCGACATGGGTGCGCGGAGCATGAGGTCAAGGACAGTGCGGGCGTAGTGGTAGGTTTGCGACTCGGTGGGAGCACCTGAGTATTCACCATAGTTGGCAAGCTCATCGGCGAAGCCGGCGGAGGCAATGGCATCAGCATAAACGACCGATGCACCACCGCCAGCAACAAGGGTCCATACACGGCCGTTGGGGTTCAGAACAGTGAGCTTAAGCGAAGCACCAGTCTTGGCATCGAGGTCGGCAATGTAAGCTTCCTCCTTGGTGAGCTCGCGGCCGAAGGGCGCGGGAAACTCAATGGGGGGACCGGCATCGATGTTGACCTTCTCGCCGGTAGCGGGCGCGACGTTGGTGAGGCCGAGAGCAGCTGGCGACCGAGCAATGGCCCACTTGACACCGCACTCAAAGTCGGCGGTCTGGTCAAGCTTGGCGGCAAGGTCAAGGAAGTGAACCTCAGCAGAGGTCTTGTCCTCGTTGGGGATGACAACGAGAGGGTTGATCTCGAGGTAGGTGAACTGGCAGTCAACGTAGACGGCGTAGAGACGGGTGATGAAGTCAACAAGCACGTTGTGCACGCCCTTGGGTACCTTGCTCAACAACGTCGACGCGATCTCTTCGTTGGAGGGGAACTCAGCAAGGTCGACGGGAATCAGCAATTTCTCGGCCTTCTCGTCAACATCGCCGACATCAACACCACCCTCGTGTGTGAAGAGAATCCAGTCGCCCTGCAATACGTTAGATGTACACTTATTCCGCGATGCATAAGAACGACGTAGGGAAAGGGTCTTTGTGGGTCGATAGCGGCTCAAGGTACAGGGGTGTCTAGTGACGGCCTTGCGTCGAGACATCCGTTCGTCCGGAATGCAAGGCTCGAGCTTTGCCGAGTAATCCACACCTCGAACCGGGGACACGCTCTCATAAAAGAAGCATTTTCCTCACTCGAGCTAGCGCCCTCGTTCAGTATCTTTTTTGCACCTGCTAGTCTCACACAAGCAAGCACGCCGTGTAACTAGTTTCTCGACCAAACGGACTCGCCCCGTGAATTCAAGGGGGGGGATGAAAGTTGAAAGACTTACATCGCGCACGGAGTTGATGTTGATGTAGTACTCAGTATCCTGAGGGTGGGGGACGAAGGGCTCAACCAGGAACTGAGTCAGAAGGCCCGAAACGTGCTCGACCTGCTGCTCCTTGCGTGCCCTCTCAGCAATCCAAGCCTTGGCCTCTGCCCAGGGCTTGTTCAGAGCCAGGAGACCGCTCTTGCCACGACGCTTGATGAGCTGATCGGGCTTTGCGACGAACTTGGCATCAGGGTGCAGCAGCCAAGGGTAGGTGACCTCAGCCTGGTTGAGCACATCGTTCACATCAGCATCCTCCGGGAAGCTCAAGGCTGCCAGCTTGGGAGGAGGGTTGTGCTTGGTGGGTTTGGGAAGAGGGCTCGGCTTGATAACAGGAGCGCGAGTGAGATGGTAGTTGAGGATGGCCTTGCCGTCGGCCTCGAAAATCGACTTGGCGGACATGGTGGTCTGAGAGAAAGGTGGAGGATGAGAATGTTGCTGGTGAATCTAGCCTTGGCTCTCGTCGCTATCGCACCAGATGTCAGCAATCTTCACGGAACAGTCGAAGAGGAATGCCCGATGGCGCATGGAGAAGTCAACAAGGCGACTCGCTGACCGCTTGCACATGCGCCAGCTTGTTGAATCGGGTGATGGAGGGGCAGCACCAGGAGCTCACATACCACTGCACAAGCTCAAGCGACAATCTGAAGGGATGAAGGATAATGTTGCAAATTGCAATTGGGGTCGCAGCGACAAGAGAGGGAGTGGTTGAAGCTGGAGATGTCAAAAGAGGAAGATGTGGAGGGGGGTTTGGAAGTTGAATCGGAGAGTCGGTGTTGCTCAGGCTGAGCAAGAAGAGGGCCGGATGAGGGACCAGGACAACGGCAGAAAATTGACAAGCTCCAGCTGCAGGCGCAGGGGCTTGTCCATTGAGGTCGAGGAGTCGGCGCCGCTCGGAATCAGTGGGTCGCTACCCTTTGCTTGGGTGCTTGGTGCACAGGCGGACTGCGAGCCGGGCGGTGAGCATGTGGCTTCAGGGGGCATGGGGGGTTGAAAAGGCGGGCAGAAAAAAAAGCATTGGGGTGGATGCTCTGCCAGGTACCGGTACCTAAACGCCAATGCTGTTGAGGCCTTCAATTTCGCCGTCTCTTCCTGGTGGGTTTACGCAAGCCAAGAGGATCCAAGATCTATTGCATTCGGCCAGCAAGAAGCCACCGACTCACAATGGCTCTCAGGAGGCGTTGGGTCGGCACAAATCCTCTTGCTGCTGCAGAAGGCGGCGGAGGGAAGACTGGAGCTTGCACCCTCAGTCGATATGCACCGAAGTCCTCTTGAGCACGAAGACTCCGAATTCAGCATTCGCGGCCAATGTGCAACGGGAGACGTCTGCCATTGGAATCGTGCAGCATGATTTGTTGGCCGATATTTTTGCTACCCCCTCGCTGCGCAGTGGCTGACCTCAGCCTCCGCCATCCCCGGCGTGAAATGGGGCAACTATGTGGTATCACAGCCACTGTTACGAGTCAACCCAGCCGCCCTTAGCTGGATATTGTCACAGCAACAGCGACCACGTTCCTACAGCGCTGTGCGAGTGCCTAAGAAGCCGGCATTGCTGGGTGCACGATTTTTTGTGTGATTTCACTCAGACAAAGCGGTGTGTTAGACTGGACCTTGAAGGTATCGGTACCTATGCCACCCTGATCGGCTGCCCCTCCATTTCCTGAAATGACGGAACGCGCTCGCAGCATGGCATTCAACAGGTCAACGAAAAGCACCGACGAAAAGAGATGCGGTCCCCAAAAAAGTTTTCCCCAACTTGCGCTGTCAAGCCCACACCGGTATCGCAACTGCAGCCAACGCATTGCTTGCAGCACTGGAAAGCGCAATATCAACAGAATCAACTGTCAATCAACACTTTTCTTCATTCCGAGTGTCGACATACGCTTCCCTAGCTACCACAACGACTTCGCAACGGTCTAGCGAAACCAACTGTATCAGCATCTACAGGCTTTGGAGGTTCGTGCTCCTTTCTTTTGTCACCTCCATCCAGGGGTTAGCGCGTTCACGGCTAGTGCTGTTGTAGCGGCTGCGCTGACCTGCAGGGCCACAAGCTTTGCCCCGCTTAAATTTTGGCTGCAGCTGGGCCCCGAATCCAAAGAAGGCACACCTGAGCCTCGTCCACTTTGGCGGGCACCCGAACGCACCGCACCTCCAATTGCACCTGGAAAGCTCCAGTCCCCTTCGCTCACCTCCATCCAGCGGGTTGATCTTTCTCTCTGCCCTCCTCCTGAACCTTCACCTCCTTCCCCTACATTCTGTCCCATACTGCCTCTGATTTCGTCCTCCTCTCCTTCTCTAATACCACTGCCTGTGCACACGAGGGCAGCTCCCATTACATCTGTGCTCATTGCTGACCCGCCATCCCACCTTTCAGCTCCCCCGCGACCACAAGCCTCTCATCATGGCTGCCAACGGCGACAAGGGCCTCTCGGCCAACGACAAGATCCAGCGTTTCGCGGCGCCTAGCCGGTCCATGAGCCCAATGCCTTCGCATGCTCTCTTCAGCGACAAGACCAGGTGCTTCGTCTACGGTCTCCAGCCCCGTGCCGTTCAGGGCATGCTCGACTTCGACTTCATCTGCAAGCGCAAGACCCCATCAGTTGCTGGCATTATCTACACCTTCGGCGGTCAATTCGTCTCAAAGATGTACTGGGGCACCAGCGAGACTCTGTTGCCCGTCTACCAGCAGGTCGATCAGGCCATGAGCAAGCACCCCGATGTCGACGTCGTGGTCAACTTTGCCTCGTCCCGCAGTGTCTACAGCTCCACCATGGAGCTGATGGAGAACCCCCAGATCAAGACCATTGCCATCATTGCTGAGGGCGTACCCGAGCGTGTAAGTTTTCTGTGAGCCACCGCCAAATGCGCCAGCTAATCAAAACTCAGCGTGCCCGTGAGATCGCCCACGTTGCTCAGAAGAAGGGTGTCACCATCATTGGCCCTGCCACCGTTGGTGGAATCAAGCCCGGGAGCTTCAAGATCGGTAACACTGGTGGTATGATGGACAACATTGTGTCCTCCAAGCTCTACCGCAAGGGCTCCGTCGGCTACGTCTCCAAGTCCGGTGGCATGTCCAACGAGCTCAACAACATCATCTCCACAACCACCGACGGTGTCTACGAGGGTATTGCTATCGGTGGTGACCGCTACCCCGGCACCACCTTCATCGACCACATGCTCAGATACCAGGCCGACCCTGAATGCAAGATTCTCGTCTTGCTTGGTGAGGTTGGTGGTGTTGAGGAGTACAAGGTCATTGAGGCCGTCAAGCAGGGTGTCATCACTAAGCCCATCGTTGCCTGGGCCATCGGTACGTGCGCCAGTATGTTCAAGACCGAGGTCCAGTTCGGTCACGCTGGTTCTTTTGCCAACTCGCAGCTCGAGACGGCCGCCAACAAGAACAAGTCCATGCGTGAGGCTGGTTTCTTCGTCCCCAACACCTTCGAGGATCTTCCTCAGACCTTGACTGAGGTCTACCAGAAGCTTGTCCAGGAGGGCACCATCACTCCCCAGTCTGAGCCTGCTGTGCCCAAGATCCCCATGGACTACTCCTGGGCTCAGGAGCTTGGCCTCATCCGTAAGCCTGCTGCCTTCATCTCCACTATCTCCGACGATCGTGGTCAGGAACTCCTCTACGCCGGCATGCCCATCTCGGACGTCTTCAAAGAGGACATTGGCATCGGTGGTGTCATGTCTCTTCTGTGGTTCCGTCGCCGCCTTCCCAAGTACGCCTCCAAGTTCTTGGAGATGGTCCTCATGCTCACTGCCGACCACGGTCCCGCCGTGTCTGGTGCCATGAACACCATCATCACAACTCGTGCCGGCAAGGACCTGATCAGCGCTCTCGTCTCCGGTCTCTTGACCATTGGTTCGCGCTTTGGTGGTGCCCTCGACGGCGCTGCTGAGGAATTCACCAAGGCTTTTGACAAGGGTCTGAGCCCCCGTGAGTTTGTCGACGGCATGCGCAAGGCCAACAAGCTCATTCCTGGTATCGGCCACCGCATCAAGTCCCGCAACAACCCCGATCTGCGTGTCGAGCTGGTCAAGGAGTACGTCCTGGCCAACTTCCCCAACCACAAGCTGCTCGACTACGCTCTGGCTGTCGAGTCTGTCACCACTTCCAAGAAGGACAACCTGATTCTCAACGTTGATGGCTGCATTGCCGTCTGCTTTGTCGACCTTGTCCGCAACTGCGGCGCTTTCTCTGCGGAGGAGGCCGAGGACTACCTGAAGATGGGTGTTCTCAACGGTCTCTTCGTTCTCGGCCGCAGCATTGGTCTCATTGCTCACTTCCTCGACCAGAAGCGTCTGCGCACCGGCCTCTACCGCCATCCTTGGGACGATATCACCTACCTTCTGCCTTCCCTCGCTCAGGGCCAACCAGGGTCTGAGGGCCGCGTGGAGGTGTCTGTGTAAAGGTTTTATGTTGATGATGCGGTTTGAAATTAAGGTGTTTGCTGGATCTGGGGTAGAGCGAGATGTATGAAAGCCTGGAATGATATGGCGCTAGAGCTATAACACCTTGATGGTTTACTAGAATATAATGACCAAACTACCTATTGTTATCTTTTGTGTTCTTGCGTGCTCAATATGACAGCGGTATCTCAAATTCGTTTCATCGTTTTGAGGTCCCATCTGCTTTCTTATGACTTCCATAAACAGACAGTGATGGACGAAAGGTTGGCTGTCTAGGAATTATGAACAAAACATGCGCCTCACACCGCTACAACATGCTCAACACAATGGTACAAGCTGTACTGCGCTTGCCAGGAGCTAGAAACTATTAAAAACTAGAAATGCACATTGACCGCCATTTGTGCAAGCATTTGACCGACTGTGATCGCCGAATGTCGGCTGGGGTGCATGAGGTGTGCATGTGCATGTGCAGGGTAGCTGGCTTCAACGAAATGCACGCGAAATGCGAGGTCACGTGGCTGCAAGGCATATCAATTTGAGAGTCTTGGCGGCAGCTTGTAACTTTCATCGACAGCATCCCATCGAAAGTAGCGAGCAAAGTGTGCAAACGCGACGAAACTACACCCAGCGAACTCAGCCGCGCGTAACGACCACGAAAAAGAGTCGAATCAAAATCACAATCATCCTCCTGCCATTCGCGCAACCGACTCATTGTGGCTATCCCAGCCACAACACCGACCACCGAAACTTCATCAAACCACACATATACCAGCTCAGCATGGCCTTCTTCCGCATAACACTACACCGCTCGAGCATTGGCATGCCCGAGCGCACGCGCGGCGTTCTACATGCCCTCGGTCTCCGGCGACGCGCACAGACTGTCTTCCATCCCGTGAGTCGGCAAACGGCCGGTATGATCATGAAGGTGAAGGAGCTGGTACGAGTGGAGGAGGTCGACTGCAGTCTCAGCAAGAATCAAGTCAAGGCGGAGCGAACTCCGGACGCCGGATTCTACCTCGAGAGAAAAGTGCAGAGGATGGAGGGCTGAGACATGACGGCGCGCATCGGTTATGTTTGTTCAGAAGAGGAGGACTGACTGGTCGTGCACTCTACGCGACCGCAATTGTATATATTTGTAACGACTTGTGTAACATACTAGACTAGCGATTCTGGGATACGAATACGCAAATGTGGACCACGCCTCTATCGTCTAGGGGGACGTGTGTTGTCAAGATCACTGATTGATTTTGCATTTGCCATGCTGATCACTGGTGTCTACTGCTGGGTCTCTTTTCCTTTCCCGGGAAAAACCACAGACCCGAATCCCACCAAACTATTCGCAAGGAAAAAAAAGGGAAACCAATGCCCCTATTCGTACAAAATCATGCCACAGCGTCGCTACTCTCTCCTCAGCGAGCCGCGGCGCGGTAGACTGCTCTCCGAACGCTCGCCTTCCTAAAAGCTGCGCGCCTTGTCAATGTACTCAGAAGAGGGCGTCTCATACTCATTGACAAAGTAGGTTTCGCTGTTCTTGCTGAACCAATTGGTGAACTTGGAAATCTCCTCCCTAAGGCGCGAGACAGACTGTTGATCCATGTTGGTTTGGGCAAGAAGTTCGGGCAGAGAAACTGTGCATGGTGTTAGTGGCGTGGTGCAGAGAGGGAGAATGGCCAAGTCGTACCGATCAGACGAGCAAGATGTTCGGCGCCGTAGACGTCCGCAGGTGACTTATACTGCTCATCGTCTGATTTCTCCCACAGCTTGCGCACCTCCAAGTACTGATGACGTTCAAAACTAGAGTCGTTAGAATGGTTTGCTCGCAACGCCTGCGATGAACGAGCCTCACCGATAGAGGAGAATGCGACCCAGAGCCTTTTGGAAATATTCTTGGAACCCGGCGATCACCTCCAGGAGGATGTCGTGGCTGGCTGTACCTGGTGGACGCGCCGGGCTCTCGTAGTCAATGTACGCATCAAGAATGTTGCGGACAGAGCGCTTGTGGGGAAGAGGCACAAGCTGATTATTCTTGGTAATGTTCTCCCAATCATCAACGAGTAGCGCCTGGAGATGGTCGGGGACCACAATATTGATCATAGGTTTGGCGTGGAAGGCATCCTCCTGACAAATGAGTTAGTGCCGTCCTGCTCAGTCGCAAGCTTGCGCTGACAGTTGTCTGAACGATAGTAGTGAAGTGAAGGCGCAATCCTAGTGAGCCATTTGCACTGGTGACAGTGTGCGATCAGAGTCGCTGTCCGCCGAATCATTGGGTGGTTCTGGGGGTGGTGTTTTCATAGACTGCTGCGGCTTCGCAACCCCCAATGGCTTCTGTTCCTGACCATCCTGACACTCTGCCAATTCTTTGGCGGGAACATCTGGCCTGGTCGAACGACGTTGGCGCACGCGCTTCTCCGTACAGGGAATCCGGCTGCCAGGAGCGACGTATCTGTCGTCAAACAGAAGAGCACCCCTGGCACCAACATAGCGATGATTGCGTCTAGGTAGTTCAAGGAGATGATCGCGCACTTCCCATCGCGCATACTGCTTGGCCTTGGCTTTCGCAGACAGCACCTTGGGTGGCACTGCGCTGGATGCTTCACCGGCCACGTCCATTGCTGTTTGTTGGACGGAGGTGCTCTCTTCAAACTTCGCATCAAGATCGGCCAGGTGTGGGTTGCGACCAACGTCGGACATTGGAAAGTCATGGGGCGTGTAAGGAACAGGCCGAGCAATGGGCTTCATCTTGGGAACTTTCTCCATTTTCTTACAAGGGTTTGGTTTGACGTGATGTGGCATGGCAGCGGGTTGTATGAGATGATACGGAGTGCTGGTGTTATGTGTGAAGGTGGCAGGGAAGGTAAAGTAAATGAGAACAGGTACTTGAGGACAGATGTGTTAAGCAAAAGGTACAAGGCGCACAAGAAAAAGTTCATGGAGATAAAAGGAGAAGGTTTCGGCGGACTAGTGAGCGTTGTGCACGCAGGCGGCAACTCTGCATCCCAGTGACAAGGCTGACCTGGGAAGATGGTGTTGTGCGATCGACCTGATGAGAGAGGCTTGGATGTAGCTGTATCCTTTCCCAATGGCAGAGCCATATAACACCAGCTCATCGTGACTTGCAACTTTGCAATGGGTCGAGGCGTGGGTGAGTGTGCAAGCCTGAATGCAGAGGACAACGCCGCTTTATCTGCACGATGCTGTGAAGCACACGCGATCAGGAGGCTGCGGATTGTTACCCGTTGGACAGGAGCAACAAACGCCTTGGGTATTTTTGCGGAAAACTCAAGTCCGGGCAAGCCGAATCATCAAGGCAGATGGATGATCCAGTGTCAAGTGGATGAAGAGTTATGCAGAGCCAAAACGTGCCACACATGTCCGCCTGGTGCAGCACAAACAGGTCGAGATGAGAAGGAAAATCGCTTACCTGCTCGAGGTCCCAGTCTTTGCCCCTGCGCCCCCCCCGAACCCCTTGAGCAGCCGAAGACGAGCGCTCCTCACTGCCGCGCGCGGAGTCTGTGGTGCCAGGCTTGACTGTCCTCTTGGGAACCCTGTTGCTTTTCTGCATGTTGCTTCGCAGCTGGGCATGGAGCTGCAAGGCTAATTCCTTGTGCTCGTCGTCGAGGGGGCGGATGCGATCGACGGTGACCCAGTCATCCCACGTGTTTTTCCAGCCCTTGTAGTGGACTTTGTAACGGAAGCCCTCGGCTGGCTTCTCGAATGGTTGAACATCCATGATTTTGGCCTCGTACAGCATGTCCATGTGAAAGCAGAGAACCTTTTCGTCCTTGTTGAACTGAGGCTGCGGTTGGCGTGCTGGAGGCATCTTGGTCTGCCCGTGCAAAGCACAATGAGCTGCTCTTGTTGTGTTTCTGGGTAAATGGGGAAGGGCTTCCGTGCCTCCCTAAGCGCGTTGTTGATGCCCTCGGTGACTGCCTCGACAGTGGCTAGTCTCAAGGCGACAGTGATTTCCTTCCGAATTTGTGAGTGAAGAATGAAGATTGGGACAATAAAGTGAGCCTTTTGTAAGGCACGTGGTGCTGATGATGGTTTCAGGTGATGGCATGAGAGAGATGGTCAAGTCGCCTTGAGTCTTGGTTGTCCCTTTTCCTCCCGTCAGGGTCGCGATCTCGGATCCTGCCCAATCACGCGTCGCGCTGCACTCTACCAGGCAAGCAACAGACACTCGCCAGATTCTTCTCAAAGACAAGTGACTCGCTTTGCATATACTCAAAATTTTCTTGCCTAGGATCTACGGCTGGTTTTGGACAATATATCAAGTGCTGCGAGCAGTCACAGCCCAAGTATCAGCCGTTGCCGATCCCACGTTGTCTTAATGCCGCCCACCTGCTCAAGTTCGATGGCATTTGTCGAAACGTCGCTGGACAGCACATTTATTAGAAGGCTAGACCCAGCATCTCATTCTGGTACTCATTGTCACGGCCAAGAGACTTCCACTGATCCCGAGAACACAACTTTTCAATCAGTACAGGCGCAGTATGTAGGCTAAGCCTTGCCGGCTCAGTCGCTTGTCCAACGGAAGCTCGCATCACTCGTGAGCACACAGCACTCAACACAAGGTAAAACGAAAATTGAAAGGTAGTGGCTTATGATTCGGGGCTATTGTCCACAGCGAGGCGCCACCGTAGCCTAATCCAGGTCAGTTGAGTTCCGACACATCTCAAGATGGTCGTCGCCACTGTTCCCCGCGATGGGGCGTCACGAGAACCTAAATATCACACTCAGGACGAGTTCTTCGGCTTCAGAAGCCATGGTACTATTTCCAAGGGCCTTGCGATGTGATTAGCTGTCAAGCGACTGAAACCGAGCCTGAAGACGCGAACAGCAGTCGAACTAGGCTTGACACTGGCCCTGATCAGGTCGGGTTGCAACAGTTCCGGCACAAAGTGGGTATTGAATGCTAATATCACACAAATATCGGCGACTGGATCACCCAAAGCTATGTCAAGAGACTCTCGTTCCTTTCGGCGACCACCTTGTTGAATGTCGTGGGACCATATCCCGGGAGTCGCAGGTACGTAGCGAAGAGCGAGGGGGGGGAGAGGGGGGGAGACACACCGTGAATGTGTTTCAAACATGATAGTAAGACATAGACTGTCATATCTAGACGACATAGTGAACATCAACAACAGCTTGCCGTTTTGCAGTGTCAAGGTTGTGCGCTTTGTACCTTCCCTTACCTCATTCCCACTTGGGCACTGCTACGTCACACCATCCCACTAAACGCGTCAAACCGACAGCACCTCTGTATCCCAGATCCCCATTCTCGACCATGGCGATCACTGAGACTGACGTCTTGACCAATTACCTCCTCAACCCCGCGCCTCTGCCGTTGGTCGTCACATTCGAGCGCTTCGCTGAGCACTTTCCCCCAGCGCAACGCGACGCACCCGCCGTGCGAGCGCTATGGCAGGATCTTGTCGCGCAGCGGGAACGCGTCTTGGCGGCGGTGCGAGAGAACATTGAAGAGGAAGTGGTGCGAGGAAGGGCGATGCGTCGCGAGGTGCTGCGGAAGAGGAGAGAAGAGGGCACCGACGAGGTTGATGCCGAGATTGAGATGGAGCGAGCGGTAGGAACCCAGCCTCGTCACGTTATGTCGAATCAGTGCCTAATGGTGCCAGCTATTCGGAGATCTGTCCGGCGCAAAGCGCGCGAAGCACACTCTCGACTCGATCATTCCTGAACTGGAGAGCGCAGCTCTTGCCTTGGAGGCTGATGTTGCAAAGCTACAGGATGAAGAGGTAAAGCTCCTCGAACTGGTCAAGTCCAACGTCGACAGCCTGAGCGACCTCCGCTATGGCAAGTTCAGCAACGCAAAGATTCGAGACGAGGTGCTTGATGGATTACGCACGCTGCAGGAGACATGCAGTAACAAATGATGATACCAAAATAACGAAAGAATGATTACAATTTCATTATACGAGGGAACGGGTCACCCTCCAGCGCAATCATAGACGACTAACAAGGTCAGATCGCACGCTTCCCGTACGTGAAACACCGACACCGGATTTTTCCGCCATTACAACCTCCAGCGCTCCCACTACGAAATGATAGCAAGGCCGCAGCATCTGCCACGCTTTGGTTCCCTGGCCAATCCTGCTCTTCATTGCATTGTCGTCTCAGCACGGTATATCGTCTAAATTTACCTGCCAGCAGGCTGCTGCTGCTGACCGTGGCCCTCCATGCGGCGGGACCTAAGGAAAACACACATTAGTCGCTGTTGTTGTTGCCCGCCTCGTCTCTGCGCGGACCGGGGACTAAGACCCACATCATAGAACGGCTGAAGAAGGAGATGATGAGCATAAAGGCCCAGCTGGGGAGCAGGTTGAAGCCCCAGAGGAGGTAGGCAAAGGGGACAGAAAGGCCATGCTCAGCCGCCTTGCCATTGAAGGGGTGCCAGAACGACTCCTCGAGCTTGAACTCGGTCTTGTGCTTGCCCTGGAGGGCGACGAGGTCGTCAGAGGTGACAGTCGTGAGGTTAAGGCGCTTCTTGTAGATGTCAATGGGTGCGGGCTCAGGGAGCATCTGGAAGGCCCAGAGCCAGCCAACGCCAGCAGACCAGACGTTGCAGAGAATGGGCTGGTCGTCGCAGTTGAGCATGCCCATGTGAGGCGCGTCGGTCTGGAGAGCGAACTTGGCGGCCGTCTCGTTGAAGGCCTGCTCGACGCGGTCGCAGTGGCCTGATGAATTAGCATCCTGGGACGGGGTCTATTGCTTGTCGCGAATACTTACCGAAACAAGTCTTGTTACCACCAGTGGTCAGGATCCACCACTCCTCAGGCTCCGTCTGGCCCTCCTTGACAGGCTCGTAGAGAGTCTGCTTCCAGTTGTCCAGGGTGAGGATGCTGAGCTTCATCGCGCCAGCCTTGGCCTCAGCCGCGGCGACGGGGTCATGGCGCCCAGTGTTGGGGATGTACGACCCAAAGTTGCCGAGGAAGTTCTGGAACTGAGCCTGGTACTGGCCAAAGGCGTCCTGCTGAGCAGAAGCCAGAGCGGGCAGCGCCGCAACAAGAGTTGTGAAGCGCATTGTGATTGTGCTGATGTGGGTGGTTGCGGGGAGACGAACGGGACACGTTGAGGACGGACGGCTGGAGCCTCCTGGTCACTAAAATAAACGCGCTGACGACGGGCAGTCGGGGACTGGAGACCTAGACTGGAGCAGGGAATGGAGACGCCTGGATGGGGAAGGGACGAAGGACTGACTCGGACTGGAGAGAGAAGGAGAAAAGCCCGGGCTTGATGAATGTACGGAAGGCAGCAAAGTCCCCGAATTTGTTGATTTAATTCCTTTGAGCGCAACAAACGGACAGCAAATTTGGGACATGCATAATCCCTGAACATTCACCTCGTTCACGCCCTCTTCCTGTTCCCTGAAGCCAAGGCTCCGCTCGCCGTCGCAGACGCGCGACTAACAGCCTGAAAGAACGCAGCCAGGCCAGGCCACTGGCAGAACCTCGGGCTCCATGTCGCCCACTGAAGTGTGGCTGGTGGGGCGACAGCTGCCAAGAAGGACGGTGGCTTGACGCGGGGAGGCAGACTGCTCCACTTTAGAACAATGCCAGTGAATATTGCTGTAGACGCGACATGACGCGCCAGGTCGCTGGAAGCGTTTTCAACATCCCAGAGCGCTCAAAATGGTCAGAACCCCCCTTGAACAATGTCCGCGCGATATGAAATACTAAATGTGTATCGCAGCCGCGAAAGTCAGCATCGCCTAAGCGCAAGCGCTATTCATTGCCTGTCGCAGGCGACACGACCCTCGACCGCATCGATGAGCACGAAGGCGGTGCACCACCGGAAGAGACACAACCCAAGAAGCGCGGCAGACCGAAGAAAGTACCACAAGGTGACACTGCAAAGCAATCAGTAGAAGCAGAAGCCGAAGCAAGAACATCAATTGAAGCGCCGCGACGGAAACGAGGACGTCCCTCTCTTGAAGAGCAGGCTCGACACGTACAAGACGGACCTTCGGAAGAGCGCCCACGGAAAAGGGGGCGGCCGCCACACAGAAGAGACAAGCCTGAAGCAGACGATGGCAAGCCAAAAAGGAAGCGTGGGCGACCGTCGCTTGGCGAGAAGAGCCACAGCGAACTGATCGAGGATGTCGTCGCAGTTGATCAGTCCGCGGGACATAATGCACCCGCAGCCGAATTGTCAGCTGAAACAACTCAATCCAGGAGAGGACGCCCAAAGAAGGCTCTTCCGACTCAGCCCCGCGACGACGAGGCTGTCCCGGAGCAAGGAGAGGACCAGCGCGACTCGACGACTGCATCACAGCGGAGACAGAACAGACAACAAGAGCCAGCGCAAGAAGAACCCGAGCAGTCACAGGAGGAGGCGGAGCATTCTGCGGCTGCGACACACAAAAGGGGACGACCGAAGAAGAAGGCCGAGACGCAACCAGAGGAAGACCGTAAACGACGAGAGGGCAGTCCTTCGCCCGCGAAGCGAAAGCGCGGCCGTCCCTCAATGAAAGCTGCCGAGGGACCCTCATCGACAAGCCATGTCACGACCTCCAAACCTGTCAGCGAGCCAGTCGAGGAGCAACAGTCCGGTGGTGAGACGCAGGCTCCGGAAGAGAACATGGCCATTGTGCGGCACTACAACGACATCCTCCCCCGATCCCACCCTCGCCTCGTGCCCAAGGACCGCACTCTCTCCAAGTCGGAGATTGACGAGAAATGGGCGCCTCTGGCTGGCCCGGCGCTGGAGGCAGCCACTGAGCTGCTGGTCCCCGCAGGCCATGCGACAATCAACGCACTGCCTCTCGGCACGACGAGACGCAAGCACACGGAAGCAGCTGTTGCGGGGATACAGAGACGTCTGATGGCGTACACCAGCAAGATGCCCTTTCCGCCGCCGTCGTCGGGCATGCGCCGCAAGGCAAAGAAGCGTGGTGGCCTGCCGGAGGAGTACGAGCCCGAGTTTGACTACGAGTATGTGTACGACAGGACGACCAACCTACAGGCTCAGCTCGACGCCGCGCAGTGCGCGGTGGAGGTGCTGCAGCGGGAAAGGGGCAAGGAAGAGCAGGCGCTGGAGCGCGACTACAAAGTCCTGCAGAATCTCGAGGCCAGTGCGAAAGCAGAGAAGAGAGACGCGAGAGAGTTGATCAAGAAGGTGCATGTCCTTGCGCCAGACAGACGGAGGGCGGTAGAGGACGAGAGTGGCTTGGTGGTCGACGGGAAAGCCCAGCCATCTCTGCAGGTACGTGCTTTCGTTCTCCTTCTGGCTTGGCTTGTTGCCCGAGTTTGCTAACTCGGCAGGATCTTGAGGATGAGGAGGTCAAAAGTCTGGCTATGCAGTTGAGCGGACACATGGACAGCATCCGGACGAACATGGCGCAGCTCGATGGGCTGTCGCCGCAGCTGGAACGGAGCAGTGCCGCGTTGAGGAGTGTCCTGGCGCGACAACTCAGTGACGAAGAGTATCATAGGGTGTTATTCGACTGAAGCATGGCAGCACTTTTCTGTAAGCGAGGCGTTTCTGTTGTTCGACAGTCCTGTGGGCTGAATGGTGGAACAACACTGATTTATCATACCACAAGCAGAGTGCAATCGCAATGGAGGCAAGTTATTCGACCCTCGTGGTTCTGGGTTACATGTGTCATGATCGTTTCGTCATGAGAAGCTTCTTCCAACATTTTCTCAATACCTTTTTCTACTAACACCCGATACAAGAACCAACAACTATATACAGTTTCCAAGAATGAAAAATGATCAGTGAGCGCCACTCATCACCACGCCTATCCAACGCAGTAACCCTACAAGGGCTCAGGAGTACCCTGACACGCTCACGCAACCCGTTTAGAAGCGGAAGCGCCTGGCGAAGCCGGTAGGGCCAGGAACATAGGGCCCGGTACCGTTGCCGGTGGGGTAGGGGATGTGAGTGGTCGCGGTGAGAGTGGTGGTCTCATCGGGCTCGCACTCGTCATACTCGTCCTCATCCTCATCGTACTCGTCCTCATCCTCATCCTCATCATCCTCATCCTCGGTCTCGTGCTCGACGGAGCCGGTAGGGGTAGCGGTGGGGGCAGACTCGTCACCGCCCATGGTGATGTAGACGGTCGAGGCAGGGACAGTGACGGTGACAGCAGAGGGGCAGACGCAAGAGTCGTCACCCTCGGTGTCGGTGGGAATGCCACCGCTGCCTCCCTCGGGGGAGACATCCTCATCCGTGGCAGCGGGAGGCTCGACGGTGAGGGTAAGGGTGTTGGTGGTGGTGGCAGTGGTGGTGGTGGTGGACTCGTCCGAGGCGCTGGACTCATCCTCGCCGGGGCTGTACGGCACGGTGACGGTGGTCTGGTAGGTGGTGCGGACGGTGGTGGTCTCGACGGTGGTGTCGTCCCCAGAGCCGTGGGTGATGGTCATTGTCTGGTCCTCGACGACCTCCGAGGTCTGGGTAGTGAGGCTCACGGGGGCCGTGGTGGCCTCGGGCAAGGCATCGGAAGCGGCCCCGGTGACGGCATCGGTAGGGATGGCGCCCGTCTGGGTGGCCGACTCGATGATGGAAGCGGAGATGGCGGGGGCCTCGGAGACGGGGCAGACGGTGGTGGTAATGTCCCTGGTGATGGTCTCGATGTAGGTGGTCTTGTCGGCCTCGGGCAGCTCCTCGATGTCGGTGGGGTTGGCTGGGCAGTCGGTGACGGTGGGCGCGCAGCTGGTGACGGTGTGGACCTCGGTGGCAATGACGGTCAAGGTGGTCTGGGCGTCACCAGGCAGGGTCGAGTTGTCACGCCTGTATTGCCAGTGCTCAGGGCGGAAGGCTGTGGCGTTGGCCAGGGTGGCAGCGAGGCCGAGGGCAGCAATGGAGGCCTTCATCTTGGAAAAGTGGTGGCAGATGGTTGGGTTGTTGCCAAGTGAGTGAGTGGGTGACAGCAGGCGAAATCGTCAAGCTGAAATCTCCGGGAGGTGAACTAATTCAAAAAAGAGCGAAAATCGATTCCACTTCAGAAAGGCTTGGTTTGGTTGTATCTTGCTTGCAAGACGTCGTTGGCACAGCCAAGTTTGAGTGAATGGAGCGGAAGAGAAAGGAGTGGCAGGAAAAGTCTGATCAAAGACGTTTTCGAAAGGAGCGAGATACCTCAAGGAGCGAGAGTGAAGATGAAGAAGAAGGAGAGGAGGAGAAGAGAGAGAGAGAAGGTGGGCTTGCGAGTAGAAAAGGGACGCATGAGCGAGAACGTTTCGACCCAGGCCGGGCCGGAGTATACGGATCTCCACCTCACAGTCTGCAGACTGCATCTGCGAAATGGCCAGGATTGCCACCCCCGGGATGCTTCAGATTTTGCAGGCTGTATGGACTCTTGGCGTCGATGGCGTGGGCCCGCGCTTGCTTGGGCGCTCAAGCGTCGAGTAGGGCTTTGGCCAGGGTGGCAGTCGTCCGTGACAAACGTGAAACGTGCATCGGCAAGCGGTGATTGATTGCTTATGAGGCGCGTCGAGGCCTGCCTCTGATCTTGTTTCTTGGGTGAGGAGCGCAGCGCATCTGGCTGCTAACCGCTGTATAGCGAGGCAGAGACCGACCGACTCATGTCCTTTGCTTGATTCCCCTGGGTAACGAACCTCTCCAGGCTCTCTCCACCTCATGATTGCCAGAGCAGATACACTCAGCTGGCGGGCAACAAGTCACGGCTGTCCGGCATGCGTACGCACATAGTGTACGTGTTCTTGCATTGACCCATCTGGCCTGGACTCTCTGGCGTGTTTGATGTTGACGACGCCCACGCCTTCACGGAGAGACTGTTGATGAGATAGGGGCCACCTGGGCGGGCAGATCCTAGTCGACTGGGGGCCACTTATGCAGGTACCAAGAGAGCCTGAGACGCTTCCTCCGCCAATCAATCACTGGAGCCCGAATCTCTCTCACCAGCCAGTCGCGCGACTGGACTGTCACGGACTCGACCAGCTCCACGCAGCGCCGAGACACGCAGATCGCTGGCAGATCTTCAAACGCTCGCTCGCGCACCATCTCGTCCACCATTCAAATAATCCCCCTCTCGCGCCCTCATCAACTGATTCAGACCCCTTGCGCGTTTATGCAGCGACTGCGAAACCACCCTCGGCTGGAACGGGATGGCCGTCGTGTTTGATGCAAAGTTGAGAAACTAACTCGGTCGCCCACACTGGAAAGCAGTACGGTACGTATTAATAGTGCATCCGTCAAACCTCATCGTCGTTCTGCGACGTCCTGTTTGTTTCGCAGCGTCTTCTGGTTGATTCCATCGTCTCTTATCGCCATGCCTCTCTCTCTGCCTGTGCGGACATGCGGTATAATGCTGCAACACTCGCGTCGTGACACGACATGAGCACAACGTGCTTCTGCTCGTATCCTATCATACCCTGCCAGCCATGTAATTAAAGGCCTTGCAACTAATTTACAAATGTTCACACAAAGACGGCCGCTAATACTGTGGCCATGGCATAACCACGGCGGTCTTGTGCGACCGTTGTTGTGTCGTGCAACGTGGAAGCCGCAGCTGGGAGTCATGCACGCAGCGACGGACGTGCCTCGTTTCAGCCCCAAAATTGCTTCATCATTCAATCTCCTCTATCCTAGGCCGCGACTGCTCAGACGGGTCGGAAATCCCAGTGACCGGGCTGACCGCTAATCCGGCTAATCTCCCGAGGACGGGGCCCGACGTACTACCAATATCGTCTTGCCTGGCGAGAAGACTCGTCATCTGCCAGGCCTCCAGGCTCTCTATCACATCCTGTGCGTGCTGCTGCACAAGACCATCGTTGTCTGTGCCGGACACATACTGCAATGTCCGGGTGATATCCTCGCGGCTGGCGTCCGTGAGCCCGAACCCGAGCGAACGCTTCTCCTCGCGGGCCTGGGCCAACGCCCTGACGAAACTGAGGATGGCGATAATGGCGGCTCTCCGTAAGATTCCCTTCTCCATCTCCGGCTCCATGACCAGGACGTGGAGACTGAGGTCCACGCCCCCCGAGGCAAGCGCCGGTCCGATGCCACCGATATTGGTCTCCAGGGCTGTACCGAATATCGAAAGAGCTGACGTACGCATACGCACGTCTTCGGTCCCCCGCTTGCTCTCCCATCCTTGCAGGATGCGCGTCAAGATATCGTTGTTTGCCTTTTGTTCTTTCGAGAGCTCTTCCCCGTCATCCGATAGAAGATCCTCCTCTTCTTTAGCCTTCCCCTTCTTCGCCTTGAGCGCCTGGAGACGCTCGTCTCTGGCCTGCTTGGCTTTTGTCTTTGCCCTGTAGCCGCGTCGGCCGGCAATCGACAGTAAGGTTTCTGCGATGTGCTGCGCGAGATCTCCGGCAAACGTCTGCCCTAGTCTCTGCACAATCTGCAACAAGGCCTCGCCGAAACGGAGACGTGTATCAGTCGTCGACTTTTCGCGAGGGTCAAGATAGTTCTCTAATATCTCCTTGATTGTTGTTTTCGGGTGCTTGTCCGCGAGTGTGTTGAGCATCTTGACGATACGAAGATTCACAAAGTCCTCGCCATTTGCCAGGAGCCTACACAGCAGGAGTGTCGTTGTGTTGATGTCCAGTACCGAACTGCGATGTTGAATCAGCTCGGAGAGAAGATTCAGTCCTTCCGAGACCACGGGCGGTGGGCTGTCGATCTCTGTGATATAATTCATCGCCAAGTTGTACTTTCGACGGTCTTCCACTTGGCGAGACCCGGGTGCTGTGCTGGTTGTTTGCTGCTCTTGGTCAAGCTGGTCTCGGTATCGGAGCAGCATGGCCAAGTTGGACGCTGTCTGGGCCACTGACCGGTCACTCTTGGCCAGCCGCTCGAGAGACGTCTCTATAGACGCAATTTCTTCCCCTTGAATGTCTGATCGTTGGAATGTAGGCGCCGTAATGACCATGTTGAGTAAGCTGAGCACAACGCCGACTAGCTCATCGCCCAGTGATGCCTGGGAATCGGTCTGCAGGACCTCGCAAATCAGACTAACAACCTGATCAAATTGACTGACCAGCTTTCCAGGTGCCTTGTCGAGAAGCTGCTGAAGCAATGATATCTCAAAAAGGCCCTGCTGAGGAGGCTCCGTGGGCTCGACCTCCTTCTCCGCCTGGAGCACTATTTCTCCAGAGCTCTTCTCCGCCTTGGCGATCCATCGACGCAGGAGGCCGAGGAAAACGGCCGAGGTATCTTCTTTCGAAGTGGCAGCCAGCATTTTGTCCGCCAGTACCGTCGCTTTTTGCTGCGGAAACTGCCAGCTCACTTCAGCCTCCGAGTCTACTTCGGGCTGCCCAGCTACAACGTCCACTGCGCCCTCGTCGCTCGCTCGGTAGAACCAAGCTTCCGCGTCCTGGAGAAGAGAGCCAATGCTCGGAGCCGTCGGGAACAGCTGAAGAATGGAATCTGCAGTACCAAACAGCTTGAGGTATGTCTGCAGGAGGCTTTGAGCAGCTGCCTGTAGAGCCCCGTCACTGGATGCGTGCGGCAGTGCAGCAATGCTCCATATCTGTGCGGTTATGGGCTGCAGCAGCCTCTTGCAGAGACCTGCTGAGGAGTTCGTCAAAACGAGTAATTTGACACGTTGAAAGGACTTTCTCAGTTGCTCCGCTGTGACGATGACACGCCCTCGACTCAGATCCACCAGTTCAGCGTCGCTGTCTTTGGCCTGGGTCCGCAATGAGGGATTGATATCTTCTAAGAATGGCCGCGCGAAAATGTTCCAGCCCGGGGCCCCTGTATCATGATCAGCTCATGGTCTTGCGAAGGAATCCCATCATGCGTACCGGGCTCTCCGTACAACCGCTTCCCAAGCACACCAAATCCTACGACTTGAGCGGCGACTCTAGCAAGATCGTCGCCCTCGTTGCCATCCATCAAGTGGAATAGCTGGCCTGAGATACCCTCGAACCACGCTTGTGGCGTCATGGACTTGGGTACGGACGAGAGAAGTCTCGTTGCATGGGCCACGGCTTCTTGGGTTATGCTAGCACCCTGCTTCTGAGGCTTCGCGGACGGCTCGATCTTGCCGTCAGTACTCGGGTGTACCTGGAAGATAAACTCGAGCGTGCTGCGAACACCGTCTGACTTCAGAGGCAGCATGGTGAGGGTGTGCATGAATGGCTCGGCGAGCCATGGTGGGAGTGTGCCTGGTTTGATGAGCGTGTTCAACGGAGCCAACAGAGGCCACGTATCGCTTCTGCGACCATCAAGTCAGGCTTGCTCTGAAAATAGGCGCCGTCTTTTCATACCTCTGGATGAGCTTGTTGAAAGCCTCTAATCCGGCCGCTCTGACTTCAGGATCGAGCGAGGGATCAAAAGCCTTTTGCCCATGCTCAACTAGAAGGCGTGCGACATTTGGCCGTTGGGGTGGCGTGTCTACACTATCGGTCATATCGGCATCGCTCTGGCAATTCACTAGGCAGTAGTTACTGTCTCTGTCGGCTTTGTTGCTTGCCAGAGGAGGCTTCAGTTTACTCATCCGCAGCTGTGGGTAAGTGGGGGCTAACGTCAGTTCAGTTGCACGCCCCGGGTGCGCAAATAAGTATCACGTGCTACACGCCTAGGCGCGTATATAAGATATATAAGTGAGCTACGGACGTACGAGTACGTAGTATAGCTAGTACCTTTGAAAATAACATTATTAGATCAACACTGCATATTTCATGTTTCTTTTAGTAAGGCAACTATGAACACCCTGCTATTTCCCCGGTTTGAGCGGCTTCCCGAATTCCCGTGCCAGATCTGCGTGCGAACTGGCATGGCCGTCCAGCTCCAGGTTGTTGTAGAGACTATAGAAACAAATATGCACTTGCGCGTTCCATTAAGTGTCAAACGCTGATAGTCGTCAAGATAGGATTGCTGGCTTTCTCTAATTAAGATATCT